GGTTGGCAATTTTCGGGATTAAGGATCATTTTTATCCTAAAAATATTCGCAAAGAAACTGTAAGTATTTGAAAATTTTTATTTAATATCAATCCAAAAATATTTAAAAAATAGTAATATTGTTTTTTTGTTAAAAAATATTATCATTCAACATTATTTTTTTAATCTTTAGGATTACATTACTTTTCTTTATACTGTCAGGCTGATATTTAATAAAAAAAAATTCAAAGGAAAAATTGCATTGGGATCTCATGGAAAAGAAAATACAACAAAAAAAGTCCCTGGAAAAATGTGAATAGACCCATTTGCCCCTGGTAATGCAAACAGGAAGAATGATGAAGCGAAAGAGGGAAGACTTATTCCTACATGTTTGAGCTCGTAAGCATGAGAAAGAAGAGATTGATGACAAAGGAACCAAGTCCAAGCGTCTTCTGTCTCTATTGCCCTGACCAATTTCAAGGTTCAAAACTTTCTTTCCTCTTCTCTTCAAAAAGATTTTGGCCGACAAATTTGGTTTGGGTATAAATATGCAGAAAACTATATTGCCATTTAACTATTGCAAAGCTTTTGTTTTTGGTCCATTATGAACAAATTAAGCAATGCAAAGCTTGTGTCTCTAATTTGGCATGTATTGATGATTTAGGTTGGGGTTTCAATTTTCATTATGAGTGGACAAGATGATGATGAGTGCTCTGTTTTTTAGTATATTATAAGTGGGTTTGTAGTTTTTGCTTTATTTAGGCATGGTTTAGTAGAAATGGATGAAAAAGATGAAGGTTGATGTGGATAGAAATCATTACTGCGAAATAGGAGAGTGTAATATTGCTGCTTGAGTTACTAATGACAACTGTCATGTAGGTTTTCAAGGACTAACAAGAGGGAATCTTACTACCAAAACAAGAAGATTTATTATTGTGGGAGATGCAATGAGGTTGGACATACTGTTAAGACATGAAAAAGCCTAAATCTTAGCGGAGAAATGTCATGAAAACCTATTATTTGTAAATGGAAGTAAAGAAAATTTTTTGTAGACAAGATAGTACCCACCAATAGTTAGTTCGGTATTAGATACATGTAACCCATATGTTTTTTTGGGATGGGTTGTGAAATTAATGTAATTACATGTATATCAAGCTATGGAATGACAGTGGGCCATGAAATATTATGTTGTATTATGATGTGTAATTAGTTGTAATTATCTGCACTTTTCATTGTCAATAAACCTTCATCACTTGTTACTCATAGTAATATCACATGCCAATTTGTCAGTTGATATAAATTTGGAAAAAATGATTTAAAATTACATAATGTCATATAAAGTTATTTAAAGTGACAACTCATCTTACTTTGAGATGTTATTCTTTTATTCTTTAGAATATAACTCTAACTCATAATGAGTTATAATGATACAACTAGAAGTAAGCTCTTGAAAAAAGCAAGCTCAGATTGAAAATACATTTGGTATTATTTTATTGTATTATATTAATATATGCCTTATTTTTATGTTGTTTAGTTATTCAAAGGAAAAAAATAGAGAATAATTTTGAAAATGACATTTATCTACAAAAAATTAAGAGGTTATAATACCCTTATTAACAAGTCACAGTGTAGATATTAACAAGTGATACATGGAACATTGGCAACTAACAGTGTTGTTTATTTAAAATTTGCAATACAGTTATATTTGATTTAAAGTAAAAATATTATGTCATATCATGACAAATTATAATCGGAATGTATTATTGAAATTTATTTTAATTAAATGATATTTTGTCAAAACTTAAAGATTCATATGAGCATATAGATTGATAAAAGACAATGCCACCAAGTGAAGGTGTAACTGATGACAAGTAATTTTATAAATTCATAGTAGTGATAATAACTGTTAATAATGATTTTAGATCGCATTATAACTAATCTTATACTAACAAATAAATTGACAAGTGATAATGCTACTATTGATGAGTCACATTACAACCATTAACAAGTGAACATGTGGTTGATGATGAGTGATTTTATAATTTTATATCAGTGATAATAAGTGTGTTAATAATAATAGTAATTTCAAATCACATTATAATCAGGATGTATTAATGCAGAGAATTTGATGATATCATATTACATTATATGGCATTATTTAACTTGCAATCATAGTTCTCTAAATTTATGTCAATAGATAAATTGATAAATGATAGTACAACCACTAACAAGTTACATTATCACCAATGACAAGTGAAAATACATTTAATAACAAGGGGTTTTATAATTTCATATTAGTGATAACTGGCTTTTAATAATGATAGTATATCATAGTGTCATCAAAATGTATTAGTCCATTTACCAAAAAAATAAAGCATTAGTCCACAAGATATTAGCACATTATATGATATTATGTAACGTTGAATAACTTTTTTTAAACTTATATCAATAAATAAATTGATAAGTGATATTGCCAAGAGTAACAAGTGATGAAAGATTTATTGACAATAAAGAATACAGATAATTACAACTAATTACATATCAAAATTTAATATACTATTTTATAGTGAACTATCATTCCATAGCTTCACATGCATGTAATTACACTAATTTCATAATCTAGCCAAAAAAAAAAAAAACACATGGACATGTATCTAATACTGAACTAATCGTTGGTGGGTACATCCTGTTTGCAAAAAATTCTCTCCACATCTATTTAAAAAAAATAGGTTTCCACAACATGTTCATAGCTAGGATTTGAGTTCTTGCATATCTTAGCAATTTGTCCAACCTCATCGTATCTCCTGCAATAATAAACCTTTTTGTTTTGAAACTGAGATTTTCTCCTATTGGTCCTTAAAAAGCTGCATGACAATTGTCATTAACAAGTCAAACAGTAATATTGGTAATTATCGCAGCTTACATTGACAATATATTTTCCTATTTTTAATAAAAGTTTCTATCCGCACCAACCTTCATCCTTTTCATTCATTCCTACTTAATCATGCTCAAAAGAACAAACCCACTATGAACCCACCCATAATATATAAAAAAACAGAGCACTCATTATTATCCTACCCATTCATAATTAAACCCCAACTTAAATTACTAATACACGCTAAATCAAAGACACAAGCTTTGCATTGCTTAATTTGTTTGTAGTGGACCAAAAACAAAAGCTTTGCAACAATTAAATGGCAGAATGATTTTTTATATAACCATACCCAAACTCAATCTGTCAACCAAAATCTCTTTGGAAAGGAGAGAAAAGGAAGTTTCAATCCTCCAAATCGGCCAAGACGATGAAAACAAAAGGCGCTTGGACTTTGATTCATTTGTTGTCAATCTCTTCTTTCTCATGCTTAGGAGCTCAAAGATGCAGGAAATCAGTTCTCCCTCTTTCTCTTCATCGTTTTTCTATATGCATTACTAGGGACAAATGGGTTTATTCACCTTTTTCATTATTGCAATCAAGTCTCATATCGTGACTTCTAAGCAATTGCTAAGTTTCCGGGGACTTTTTGGCTATATTTTCTCTTCCATTAGATCCTATTAGAATTTTCCCAATAACATATGAAGGGGCACTGTCGGGTCAAACTGAAACGGCGTTATTTCATCTAGCTCGTCAGCCAGCAGATTCTAAAGGACGAAACATTGGCGCCTATAGCTGTCATCCTCATTGCTGTATTTAGCTAGGAAGAATTTCAATTGAAAAAAACACTAAGAAACATATTTACAACTTAAATCTTTTTTTTTTAAATTTCACTGCAAGACTGAGACTTATTTGACATTATGTTTTTATACTCAATTATCAAAATGCTTTTTATTAATTAAAAAATTTCACCCTGTGCCTGTTATAACTTTAAGCTTGTCGTTTTAATGGGTGTACCTATCACTTTATTTTAAAGACTGGTATTTTTTTTTTATATTGAACCTTGTTCATAAGTATTCTCTAGTGAGTTGAGATAAGTCAATGTTATTAAAAATGATAAGTTTAATTTTATATTTTGTATTTTCAGTTACTAAGACTCACATTTTACATATTGCAGCTTGTTGACAAGTTCTTTTGAGTAAATTGACGAGTAAGCATTAGTGAAATGACATGTTCACCTACTATTTTGACAAATATATATATGACTATAGGAGGTTATAAAAAACATCTTTTACGTAATAAAATTTATTGACAAAATTTCCTTGGTAGACTGAAAAGGATGTTATTTCCTTTGATGCTAAATGCATAATTCAAACTTACACAATTTTATATTTTAAAGTATCTTACCCAAAATGCTTGGTATAAGTTGAGTTAGAAGCCATAGAAGTTGTTTGTAAATGCTTCCGATAAGTTTTTATGAGTATTTTTACATAAGTTGAGATAAAATTTTTTTTCTTATTTTGTATTTTATAAATTATAATTGAAAAGTCATTTTAAAGGATTCAATCACAATCTCAAATGAGTTTAAGGCTCATTTGGAATCATATTTAGAATAATTTATAAGCACATTTCATACAAACTAAGACAAAACTCTTATCACATACTTACCTCGTATTTCATAAATCTCGATTAAAAAGTTATTCATGAGTCATTTCAAACGGAATATTTATCAATTAATCATGAAAACATAATATCAAATCCTTCCTTAATCCTACTAAACTTTCAAAATATTTGAAGAGAGAAATGCTTAATTATTTTCTTGGACCAGACAAAATGCCTAACTACTTACTTAGTCACCAAGGAAATCAACTTGAAGACTCGAACGATTCAGAAATCCAAGAGTGATGAAGAAAACAAGAAAGAAAGGAGAATTTCTCTCCTTCTTTATTCGACAAATGCCGAACAGGGTGCCTCATTTTTGTACTCAGATTATTTTTCCCTTTAAATAGCGCCATTGTGTGCGAATCTCCTTCTCCAATGTTACTTCCAATCCGGTGCTGTAAGGTCTGAGGTTTCGAAGTGAGAAAAATGGCTTGCGTTGATAATGTCGCCCACGATATTCAATCTATACTCTCTTCTTCGGAGAGAAACTATCTGGTTCGGAACAACGGCGATCAGGTACTTATGTGGTTCTCTGATTTTAATCAATTGAAGCAATCTGTGCTTTTCATAGATCAACAAGACTTTGGAAAACTCGAAGTTTGTGCTTCTTCACTAACCTATCACAGGTCAACAAGACTCCAGTAATATCTGAAATTTTGATCAACGGCTTTCACACTAGATTTCTAGTCTTCTGATTGACCAGGGTATATAATTTTCTATTTTCCGGCCTATACTTTCCTCGCGTAAGATTCGATCACTGTCTTTCTGTATCTCCAACCATGTTTGATTCACGAATTTCTTTTAGTTTCGAAACATGTGAATTGTGATAGACCAGCTTGCTCTTGAGAGTTCTTGACCATGCAATACTCTGGCTGTTAAATCAAACAAATAATATGCGAAATGATTTTTTCAGTGTCAACTCTGGTAAAACTCTGCTTACAGATATAATGTTTCATTCTGAATGGTAGCTCATAGGTGTTATTTTACATGATTATGCTCGCATTCATGGAGTATCGAAGAAGTCTTTGTTTTTTCAGGTCAAAATTGAGAGCTTGAAGGGGAAGAAAGTTGGCTTATATTTTTCAGCATCTTGGTGCGGTCCCTGCAGACGATTCACCCCTACTTTGGTGGAGTTGTACAATCAAGTCTCTGCCAAAGGTGATTTCGAGATAGTCTTTTTGTCAATTGATAAAGACGAAGATGCCTTCAAAGGTTACTTTTCCAAGATGCCATGGCTTGCCATCCCATTTTCTGATTCCGACACACGCAATCACCTCAATGGATTGTTCAAGATGCGGAGGATTCCGCTCCTTGTGATCCTTGATGAGAATGGGAAAGTGGCAACGGAGAATGGAACAGAAATTGTAAGTGAATGCGGAGTTGAAGCATACCCTTTCACGCTAGAAAAGATCAAAGAGTTGAAAGACCAAGAAGAGGAAGCCAAGAGGAACCAGTCCTTGAGGTCTCTTTTGGTCTTCAAGTCACGTGACTATGTTATATCTTCTGATGGAAAGCAAGTAAGTTTCTGTTTTTTGAAATTAAAGGCTGAAGCTAATCATCGAAATATATATTTAGAATGTTTCCCTTTTCGTGTAAATCCTATATTAATTTTGGACACGTGTGGGATATATAGAGTTTGAATTCTACCTTCCATTTACTTGCAGGTACCTGTGTCTCAACTTGAAGGGAAGACAGTAGGTCTGTATTTCTCATCTTTTTCATTCAGAGCATTTGCCGAGCTTACCCCAAAGGTTGTGGAGGTTTATGAGAAGCTGAAAGGAAAGGGGGAGGACTTTGAGATTGTGTTCATATCCGTCCGTGATGATGAAGAATCATTCAAACAGGGACTGAAAAGTCTGCCCCTGTTGGCATTGCCATTCAATGACAAGAGCTGTGAGAAGCTTGCTCGTCACTTCGAGCTATCGAACTTGCCCGCTTTGGTTGTTATCGGACCAGATGGAAAAACCCTTCATTCCAATGTGGCTGATGCCATTGAAAAGCACGGGGCTGCTGCATACCCTTTTACTCCTGAAAAGTTTGCAGAGCTCTCTGAGATAGAGAAGGCCAAAGAGGCAGCTCAAACACTTGAGTCTATTCTGATTTCTGGGGATCTAGATTTTCTCATAGGGAAAGATGGAATCAAGGTGTGATTCTTGGAAATAATTGAACCTCTTGTTTTTCTCCGTTGCTTCTTAGATATGTTGAATATCTTGTAATTGCTCATCTTCGTCCTCATGTCTTGGCTGTCTTAAAGCATTTAAGATTCTTGCTTGCAAGGTACACGTATGTTTTGATATCACTTGGAATAGAAATAACTATGAGAAGTTATATCTTTGAAGTTTTAGTTTATTCTCCTAATAAAGGATTCACTATGTTTTGCCATTCCAGAAGGGGAAAATTTTAAGTAGACCACGACACTTGGAACTGATTTTCATCTGAACCATGCTACAATTTTGCTGCTTCTCCCTTATCCCTCTGCTGTCACCATTCTGTGATAATGACAGTCCTTTTCCTTCTTTTTCAGATTCCAGTGTCAGATTTAGTGGGGAAGACCATACTGCTGTACTTCTCAGCTCACTGGTGCCCACCATGTCGTGCATTTCTACCAAAGCTTATTGAATCATATCACAAGATCAAGGCCAAGCAGGACAGTGCTGTTGAAGTCGTCTTCATCTCCAGTGACAGAGACCTAGCCTCGTTCAATGACTTCTTTGCTGGAATGCCATGGCTGGCTCTTCCCTTTGGTGACTCCAGGAAGTCATTCCTGAGCCGCAAATTCAAGGTGCAAGGCATCCCAATGTTGGTGGCAATCGGACCCGGCGGCCAGATCCTGACGAAAGATGCTAGAAATCTTGTTGCGCTTTATGGTGCTGAAGCTTATCCTTTCACTGAGGAAAGGGTGAAAGAACTTGAGGCTACATCTGAGGAGATGCCAAAGGGGTGGCCTGAGAAGGTGGCACAGAAGTCTCATGAGCATGAACTTGTGTTGACTCGCCGGGGGATTTATATTTGTGATGGTTGCAACGCGGAGGGTCACGCATGGTCATACTGTTGTGACCAGTGTGACTTTGATCTGCATCCGAAATGTGCTTTGGAAGAAGAGAAACCTAAAGAAGAGAACAAGCAAGAGGGGCGGGTTTGTGATGGGGAAGGAAGTGTGCTCTAAAGCCTGAAGAAAAGTCAAGACTCTCGTTCCTTGCATTGGAGTTGTCTGAAGGCTTCATATTAAGTGTATTTCAAAATATATCTAATAATGTGCTTGCTGTCCAAACAAAATAAGCATGTAAAATATGGTATGTTGGATTTTAATATTATAATCCCCTTTTTTTTTTATCTATTTTATTATGCATAATCAAAACTCATTACTATGTTCAAATCTTTATAAAATTATGGATACAAAAAATTATGATTTGAAACTGTAAAAATGAAAATCGAAATTCTATCAAAGTGTATTTTTTTTCCGAATTTAAAATAGCACATCATAATTAGTTGCAAGAGAATTTTTAGTTTTTAAAGTTAGGTGAATTAAATGAGCTTAAATTATGAAGTTAATTAATTTTATACCATAATCATAATTATATAATTTAAAGTTTAAACATAGAATTATAAAGTAATAAAAAAAATAAAGATGGAGGCTTTCTTCTTCTTTTTTGTTTATTATAAGTCAATTTTATTCAAAATCCAATACAACAATTACATTTAAAAAGCATATGGTCCATTTGAATAGAGTCCAAACAACCCAGCGAAAAAGTTGGCACACATTATATAATAGTGTCTTGAATAGGATTGTCTCCAATAGGAGGATGTCTATGCTTTAGTTAAAAAAAAAAAACAAAGAAACTGTTGAACAAAACATAACGAAAATATTTTTTAAAAAAATGCAGCTCCATGTTTTGAGACAAGAGACCCAAAACTTAAATATGCTCGAACTAAACATTCAAGGTTGAGGAATTGATGAACTCGTCACCCTGAAAGAACGGGCCGGAAATAATTCTTTCATACTGGCTCCCCGAAGAGGACGTTTCTGAAATGGGTCTAATGGGTCTGTTTAAATTAACGCTATAAAAGATAATTTATTTACAATCTGACAATTAAAAAAATGAGATTGCATAAAAATTAAATTCGGTAATGTAATTTGTGTTTAGATTGATTTTTATAAAAATTAATTTGTAAAATAAAAAAGTTGTTTGAATTATGATTGAATAAATAAGTTTCTTTCATAGAATGACCGAAATGGATATAAATTTCATTAAATAATAAAAAAAGCATTACAATTATGAATGTAAAAAATATAATAATTTTAAACTATTATAATAGAAAAAATTTATATTTAATGAATAAAATATACTTGAATAGGAAATTATAATAGTGTGAAATTTTTTGAACCAAATAATATTATATAATTAATTAGATGATATACTCTGCATAATTTATATAAATATAAAATAAAAATAATATTAAAAATTAAAAATATTATAAAAACTATTAAAAGTTATTTTCACTTAAAAAGAATTAAATATAAATAACTAAAAACTGATTATAAAGCATAAAGAATATATAAATAGAAGCATAAAACAACATAAATATAAAGACAAATATGTCTTTTAATTTTGAAAACTACTTTTGCATAAGTTGTAAGTAAGTTTTAGGTGTTTTTACAATCGTACTTAAAAAAACAGCTTTTAACTCATAAATCAGATTAGTTAAAAGTTAGGACAAACACCTCTCAAATTTACAAACTGACCTGTTACACCGATAAGCTCCTTTATCTCCCACAAAATCGCCTCATCAAACAGGCAGAATGATGATAAAGTAGAGAAGCAATTATATTTTCCATTCCCAAATTATAAGCGGAGACCTGAGACTTGTCTCCCGCAACATTACCCAAGCTGCAGTAGCATTGATCATTCACACTCATTTTTTATATTTACTTTTGTAGTGATTTCCTAATTCATCAAAATACTGTTATTCAAAACATGCACGATCTTTTGGCCAAAAAAAAAACATGCACGATCAAAACAATATGATTGGTCTAACAATTCAATTAATTTTTCTAATTGTTACATACAAAGCGTGTAGATGATTTTTTTTTTTTTGTCAATAAGGTGTGTACATATTGAATGATAGATCCACATATCATATGCAAAATATTTTACACATAGAATTATTATTCTTAATTAACTATAAGATGCTAAGAACTTACCTTTTACATCAAAACCCATAAAGCTAGCATCTGCCTTTTGCCCTGTTTCCCTTTTTATTCCTGGCATGAATTTAAGAACAAGTTAACATCATTTTATATTACACTAAGAAAGATAAAAACAATACCAACAAACTGTTAGTTGAGATGGTAGCGACTTCACTCTTGTAAAGAGAAGAACACGAATTCGAATCCCGAAAAGCACGCTTATTGATAGAGCTATTCCTTAACCGTTCCAGGACTGATATGGATTAGTCTCAAGTCTAATATGACTTGGATGATACCCTTGTTTCATTAAAAAAAAAAAGATAAAAACAATAAGCTCCAAGTTAACTTACAGGTTTTACAATAATAATAATTGCAACTTAAATAAAAGAAAAATTTGTAATAATAATTAGAAATTAAATTTAAAAAAATTATGAAGGATACTATCGAGTTAAAAGGGTTAAATACTTAAACATGTTGCCTAGCATCTGGTTTGCCAGCCATGGGATTATAATTTATAAATCTCCGACGTCTTTTTTATTATATACAAATAGAGATAATTCTATGATATATGATTAATCATTATTGTTGAATAAATGGAGTGCGGAGAAAAAATGGAAGTGAACATCAAGCCGATAACTTGAGCATTATTACATAATCAAATTGGAAGTAATTTCTTATATCAACTTCACGTAAAATCTTCCAAGTTTCTTTTTTATTTTTCGGCCAAAAAAATCTTCCAAGTTTCACCCGCGATGAATTGTATTTGAACATGAAATAAGTAGACCCGGGAAAAAAACATAAGTATCAACCTTTATATATATATTAAAAAAATACAACCAAAAGAAAAAAATTTCTCCCATCCTGTTTGGACAAATTAAAAATATTCAATGAATTAATTAATTATGATATGGCTTGATCTCTTTAAAACATATTTTTTTTTGTTATATATATATATATATAAATTTTAGTCAGTTGGGTTTCAAGAACTCGTGAAAGTCAGAATATGCTTTCAAGCTCAAAGAGCTCTTACAAAAATACTTACAAACTATTTATCAATGAAGGCCTCATATTGATAATGAGATTCAAATTCAAGACTTTATGAGTTATGACTTGACTTTTTACTAACTAGATTATCTCTTCTTGGCCTCTCTAAAACAAACTTATGTCACATGCTCACATTTTATTATATAGTACCAATTCATAAGTTCAGTAAATAAATTAGCATGAAGACCACAGCACCTCGGTTCCTATTTAAATCATTTGTAAATTATTCTTGCATATCAAGGAATTAGTTAAACTGTAAAAAAAAATGCCATCATTATCTTTTTCCAATATTTACAAATTATTCTCATCTTTTTTTGCTCTTTCTCTCTTTTCAATAAAAATTAAATAAGAATAAAATTAAAAAAATAATTCATAATAACTCTATAAATAATTTATATTTTTTTCCCCATCAGTTTAATATCTGGCTCACTTGATAATATTAAAAGAGTGGAATACTATCTCCTGTGGTTAATATAAGATTTTATTTAATTTTTATTTTGATTCTAAATATAAAACTTTAATCCACTTTTTTCTCATATTTATATATTTTTTAAAGATAATCCTCATAATAATAATAGTTCTATATTCACAAAGATATTTTAAAAAAGATTACATCTAGTTATTATAAATAATTAACTTAACTTATTTATCTAGTCTCTTTAAATTAGTTAAAAGTGGAGGAAGTGACGTATGTTTACGCATGTCACACTCAATACGTCATCTTGTCCGTTATAGTTACAAAAACGACGGCGTTGCATGGATCATGGACAAATGAACGACATTTCTAGTTTGCCCGAATCAGGCTGCTTTGTCCAACGGTAAGAGATTTGTTTTCGCTTTCTATTGGTGCCTTGTTGGTCGGCCTTGATTTCTTGAAGAGCTACTTAGCCTCCAAGGAAATGACACGGCGGCTCGAACCTTCCAGAGATCGTACGGATAGAAACGACACTTGATGCGCCCGCATTAATAGATCTTATCCTCATTCCCACGCTTTTCTTCCTTTCACACAAGTAGATCAAATTAGATTTAAGTTTTTATAAAAATTTAAAATTAATAAATAATAGTTTATAACTGTAGTGAAAAAATTTTAAAAAAATCCGCTTTATAATAGTGGTCTATAGTTGTGAATTATTTATCATTTTTTGTCTAAAATTATATTACTTTTTAATTTTAAATATAAGACTCGTACTACAAAATAGATTTTATATTTAGGATCAGAAAGGATAATATTTATTTTTATAAAAGTTTAGATGAAGATAATTACAATTTTAATCTAATGATTGTAAAAGGAAGAAGAGAGTAACGCAAGGAAAGAGGATAGGAAGAGAATCCTAATCTTTTCTTAGTCCTTAATTCTTACATAAAGACTTAAGACCATTTTTTACATGGGATGCAGAATACCTAAAAAGGGCTTCTCTAGAATTCTTTCTTTCTATAAATAGCCGTTGGAGTGCGAATTTTTTCCTTGCTCATCGCTACTTCGAGTTTTGTACTGTGTGAGCTTGGAGGTTAAGCAGTGACGAAAATGGCTAGTGGTGAAGATGTTGTTGTTGCTCATGATATTCAGTCTGTTCTCTCTTCTTCGGAGAGGGACTATCTTGTTCGGAACAACGGCGATCAGGTACTTCTTTTGCTTGGTTCTTTCGTTTAACGTTTTATTCTCTCGGAAAATTATCTTAGTCTGTGATTTGGATAGATCGAACTCTATTTATTTGCGGATCCATCTTAGGTCCATAAAGACTCTTAACGCATCTGGGGTTTTGATCAACGGCCCTTGCGCTGAATTTTTACTGAATTTTTAGTTCTCTGGGGGAATAGGTTGTCTATGCTTGCTGCCTATCTTATTTGATTCCTGTCATGTTTGATTGATGAATTTCTTTTAATTATGAAACTTGTGAACTATGATACTGATGTGCATGGACCAGACTAGACCGGTTTGTTATCAACCCGAAGTCTGATCCAATAAAAATCTCGGGCTGAAAAAGACAGCTTGAGATCTGGCCCAATCCAGTACCAACCCGAAGTCGGGTTAGACTGGTCTTGGTCCTTTGGACTTCTTAGATCAGTCCAAGTAGTTTAGGACCTAAATTTAATTTTTTTAAATTTTTTTTCCTTCAATAGGAGATAAGATTGTAACTTACTATATAAAATTGTATACATATTTTAATTCAAAGTTCATCAAATTTAATCATTCTCTTTCAATTTCCCAATAATGTCATGTTTTATTAATTAATCCTCATTAATATAAATCTTATATTGTAGAAATATATACGCATGCTCATTACTTAGGAAGTTAATAAATAAATCTTGATTATTTGAATAGACAAAAAAATTATATAGAAAAATTAAACCAAATTAAAATTATTAAATAATAATTAAAAAAAACCAGGCTAGACTGGACTGGACTAACTAGTTTGAGGGCCAGTCCAGTCTAGCTCGATAAGACTAGTCTGGTCTGGTCCAGTCTTGTTTCGGGCTAATTTTTTCTGGACTGAACTGGATTTGTTCGGGTTAGACCGGACCATACCGGACCACCGGGTTTTTGCACAGTCCTGTGATACTCCAGCTTCCCCTTGGGAATTTTCTGATGGTCACATCTGATGGACCCTACCATTAGATGTGACTTTAGTTATTTTTGGCAATTTTTGATATGATTATAATCACATCACTGGAAGATTGAAGAGGTTTTTCTTCGTGCGGGAAACATTTTCAGGTTAAAATCGAGAGCTTAAAGGGGAAGAGAGTTGGTTTATATTTTTCAGCATCTTGGTGCCCTCCCTGCAGACGATTCACCCCTACTTTGGTGGAGCTGTACAACGAAATCTCTGCTAAAGGTGATTTTGAGATAATCTTTGTGTCAGCTGATAAAGATGAAGATGCCTTCAAAGGTTACTTTTCCAAGATGCCATGGCTTGCCATCCCATTCTCCGATTCTGACGCAAGGAGTCACCTTAATGAATTGTTCGAGGTGCAGGGGATTCCTTATCTTGTAATCCTTGATGAGAATGGGAAAGTCGCCACTGAAGATGGAACAGAGGTTGTACGTGAGTATGGAGCTGAAGGATACCCTTTCACACCAGAGAGGATCAAAGAGTTGAAAGACCAAGAAGAGGAAGCCAAGAGGAACCAGTCTTTGAGATCTCTCTTGGTCTCCAAGTCACGTGACTTCGTTATTTCTTCTGATGAAAAGCAAGTAAGTTTCTGTAACTTCACCCTCTGCGAGATAGACCTGAAGAAGTATTTCCTTTTCCTCAAAAGGCTGTAAACCTTTTGAGGCTGAGTTGGGAAAATCTTATTCACATTTTAATGAATCTATAATTATGGGGACACCTTTAGGACAGGGTCTGAATTTCATCTTCCATTTACTTGCAGGTACCTGTGTCTCAACTTGAGGGGAAGACCGTAGGCCTGTATTTCTCGTCTTTTTCATTTGTACCATCCGCTGAATTTACTCAACAGCTTGTGGAGGTTTATGAGAAGCTGAAAGCAAAAGGTGAGGGCTTTGAGATTGTGTTGATATCCGTTGGGGATGATGAAGAGTCTTTCAAGGAGGGACTGAAAAATCTGCCCTTCTTGTCATTGCCCCTCAATGACAAGAGCTGCAAGAAGCTTGCTCGCTACTTTGAGCTATCCACCTTGCCCACTTTGGTTATTATTGGGCCAGATGGAAAAACCCTTCATTCCAATGTGGCTGAGGCCATTGAAGAGCACGGCGTTGCTGCATACCCTTTTACTCCCGAAAAGTTTGCAGAGCTCTCTGAGATAGAGAAGGCCAAAGAGGCAGCTCAAACACTCGAGTCTATTCTTGTTTCTGGGGATCTAGATTTTCTCATAGGGAAAGATGGAATCAAGGTATGATTCTTGAAAGCAATTGAACCACTTGTTTTTCTCCGTTGTTTCTTAGATATTTTCGATATCTTGTAATTACTCATCTTCATCCTCATGTCTTGGATGTCATAAAGCATTAAGATTCTTGATTGCATGATGCACTTATGTTTTGATATTACTTGGAATAGAAATAACTGTGAGAAGTTATATCTCTGAAGTTTTAGTTTATTCTCTTAATAAAGGATTAACTATGTTTTGTATGACGGCTTTTGATTTGCCATTCCAGACAAGGAAAATTTGAAGTACACCGAGATATTTGAAGCTGATTTTCATATGAACCATGCTTCAATTTTGCTGTTTCTCCCTTATCCCTCTGCTGTCACCATTCTGTGATAATGACAGTCCGTTTCCTTCTTTTTCAGATTCAAGTGTCAGATTTAGTGGGAAAGACCATACTGCTGTACTTCTCAGCTCACTGGTGCCCACCATGCCGTGCATTTCTACCAAAGCTTATTGAAGCATATCACCAGCTCAAGGCTAAAGACAATGCACTCGAAGTGGTGTTCATATCCAGTGATAGGGACCAAGCATCGTTTGATGACTTCTTTGCTGGAATGCCATGGCTGGCTCTTCCCTTTGGTGACTCCAGGAAGTCATTTCTGAGCCGCAAATTCAAGGTGCAAGGCATCCCAATGTTGGTGGCAATCGGACCCGGCGGCCAGACCCTGACGAAAGATGCAAGAAATCTTGTTGCGCTTTATGGTGCTGAAGCTTATCCTTTCACTGAGGAAAGGGTGAAAGAACTTGAGGCTACATCTGAGGAGATGTCAAAGGGGTGGCCTGAGAAGGTGGCACACAAGTCTCATGAGCATGAACTTGTGTTGACTCGCCGGGGGATTTATATTTGTGATGGTTGCGACGAGGAGGGTCACGCATGGTCATACTATTGTAGCGATTGTGACTTTGATCTGCATCCAAAATGTGCTTTGGAAGAAGAGAAACCTAAAGAAAGTACCAATCAAGAAGAAGAGAATAAACAAGATGGGCGGGTTTGTGATGGGGAAGTCTGCTCAAGAGCTTGAAGAGTTAAGATTCTTGTTTGTTGCATTGAAGTTGTCTGATGGCTTCTTATTATGTGTATTTCAAAATATGTCTGATAGTGTGCTTGCTGTCTAAACAAAATAAACATGTAAAATACAGTATGTTGGATTTTAATATTATAATCCCTTTTATATCTATTTTATTATGCATAATCGGAAAGTAATATATTGCATAATCAAAACTCATTACTCTGATCAAATCTTTATAAAATCATCAATACAAAAAACTATGATTTGAAACTGTGGAAGTGAAAATAAAAATTCTATCAAAATGTAAGAATTAATAATAGTATTAACCTGATTTTGTAAAATGATTTATAAACAGGAGCATATAAAATTGAGAAAGTGATTTATAAATAAGAACGAGAAGGTAGTATGCTTTTCCGAATTTAAATGGCGCATTATAGTTGGCTGCAAGAGAAAATTTATTTGATTATTTCATCAAATTGAGACAAAGCTTTCCTAAATTTTACCTTAAGAAAAAAAACGTTAAAACTGGATCGAAATTTTAGTTTTTGAAGTTAGTTGAATTGAATCAGTTTAAATTATGAAATTAATTAATTTTATACCATAATCAAAGTTATATAACTTATAGTTTAAAGAACATAATTATAATCAAGGGTTAGATTTAGTAGAAGGGATTAGTTTCTCATAATGTGACGAATCAAAATTTAAATCCCTGTCAAAACAAATGGGTTATATGTGATGCATTTGAGTAAATTCTAAAAAGCCCAACAAAAAGGGTCGGCCCATCACTGCAAGAGAAAAAATGGAAACACAAGCAGCCAACACTATAAACAACTGAACAAACGGACATAACGAAAATATAAAGGGGGAAAAAACTTGCAGCTCCATGTTTTGTAACAAGAGTCCCAAAACTTAAATATGCTCAAATTAAACATGCAAGACTGAGGAATTGATGAACACGTCAATCTAACAAGAGTCCTTCATACTAGCTCCCTGAAGAGGACGTTCCTATAATGATGATAAAATAGAGGAGCAATTGCTTTGTGTTTTTTTTTTTCTTTTATTTTTTTTCCCATTCCCAAACTATAAGCGGAGACTGAGATTTGTGAGCTACAATATCATCCAAGTTGCAGAAACTAGTTAAGATGCTCATCACTTCAAATTCATCGTATTTAAATCATCTAAATTTTATTTAGATGGTCTAGATTTAATTTTAATTTTAATTTTAATTTTTTTAAGATAATTATTTTAAGAGGTATAAAATATAAAATAAAGATAATCTCTTAACTATTATTTTTTTCAAAAAATAATTTTTCTATTTAAAAATAATTAATTAAAAATTTAAAATTTGAGCCATTCAAATGATATCTTAATGGTCAAGATCTAATGAGTTTAAGATGTTTATCAATATGATGAACACTGAAACTGGTTTCCGAGTTGCAGAAGTGACACTCATTTTTTTTTATATTTATTTTTGTAATAATTTCATAATTCATCAAACTATTGTTATTCAAAACATGCACGAATATAATTGGTCTAATAATTCAATTATTTTTTTTTAATTGTCACATACAAAGCGTGTAGATTTTTTATTTGTCAATAAGGTGTACATATTGAATTTTTTTGACCAGGGTTGTACATATTGAATGATAGATCCACATATCACATTCAAAATATCTTGCCCATAAAATTATTATTTTTAATTAACTGTAAGATACTTAGAACTTATCTTTCCATTAGATCAAAACTCATCAAACTAGCATCTGACTTTTGCCGTGTTTTCCCTTTTATTCCTCGCACGAATATTTAAGAATCAGTTAACATCATTTTATAGAACACTAAAAAGATTAAAAAAAAACAGTAAATTCCGAGTCAACTCGCGAGTTTTATAGTACTAATTGCAACTTAAATTAAAGAAAAATTTATAAAAATATTTGGAACTTAAATTAGAGAAGGATTTAGGAAGGACAGTAGGATACTATCGAGTTTAGGTGTTAAACCACGTTGCCTGGTATCTGCCATCTGGGTTGCCAGCCACGGGATTATAAATGACCGACGTCTTTTTAATTATATACGAATAATTATATGACATAAGATTAATTATTATAGTTGAATGAACGTCAAGCCGGTAACTTGAGCATTATTATATAATCAAATTGGAATTAATTTCTTATATCAACGTCACGTATAATCTTCCAAGTTTCACCCACGATGAGTGGTATTTGAACATGAAATAAGTAGACCCGGGAAAAAAAAAAAAAGGTACAAAGTTTATATACTAAAAAAATACAACCAAAAGAAAAAAATTTCTCCCTCCGATGCATAGCTAGTTAACTAGTTTGGATAAATTAAAAAAATATTAAATAGATTAATTAATTATGATAAATATGGCTTGATCCCTCTAATACGTACCTTTTTTTATATAAAAAAATTTAAGTGAGTTAGGTCCTAAAAGTTCACTAGCGTTAGGACATGTATTCAGACTCAGAGAACAATTATTGAGGTACTTATAAATTGCCTATTAATAAAGCCTTTACATTAACAACAAGATTCAAATTTAGAACTTTGTAGGTTATAAGTTGATTTCTTATCAACTAGACTAACTCTTGACCTCTCTAAAAGATGCTTTTGTCACATGCTCACGTTATATTATATAGTACCAATTCATAAACTTGGTAAATTAGTTGAAAAAAATAATAAATATAAGAAACAAAATAAATTAAAGTATTAAGACCAAATTTAACTCCCAACAAGTTTACCGCCTCGCTTCCCATTATAAGTCATTTGTAAATTATTCTTGCATGTCAAAGAATTCATTAAATTGATACAATTTTTTTTAAAAAAATTTGTCCTCATTATCTCCTTTTTAATATTTACAAATTATTCTCATCTTTTTCTTTTCTTTCTCTCTTTTCAATAAAAATTAAAAAATAGCTCATAATAACCCTATAAATAATTTATATTTAAAACTAAATTTTTTTCTGCAAATGACTTGCAATAAAATTTTTTTGGACCTTTTGGCTAAAACCAAAGGTATCATTTTCCCCCCCCCCCTTCCTTCTCAGTTTAACATCCGGCTCACTTGATAATATTGAAAGAGTGGAATATTAAAAGTGGGAGGAAGTGACGTATGTTTACGCATGTCACACTCAATACGTCATCTTGTCCGTCATCGTTACAAAAACGACGCGCGTTGCATGGATCATGGACACATGAACGACATTTCTAGTTCGCCCGAATCAGGCTGCTTTGTCCAACGTGCAAGATTTGTTTTCGCTTTCTTTTGGTGCCTTGTTGGTCGGCCTCGATTTCTTGAAGAGCTACTTGGCCTCCAAGGAAATGACACGGCGGCTCGAACCTTCCAGAGATCGTACGGAGAGGAAACCAAACTTGAAAGAGCATGCGCCCCGCATTAGTAGATCTTATCCTCTTTCCTACGCTTTTCTTCCTTTCACACCAGCAGATCAAATTAGATTTAAGTTTTTATAAAAATTTAAAATTAATGATAAATTTAAATTGTTAAAATTTGATCTTAACAGTTTATAACTGTTGTGAAAAAAATTGAAAAAAAATCCACTTTATAATAATGGTCTATAGTTGTGAATTATTTATCATGTTTTGTCTAAAATTATAGTACTTTCCGGTTTTAAATATAAGACCTGCACTATAAAATGAATCTTATATTTAGAATCAGAAGGATAATATTTATTTTTATAAAAATTTAGATCAAGATCATTACAATTTTGATTTAATGGTTATAAAGGGAAGAAGAGAGTAAAACGGGGAGGAAGAGGATAGGCAGAGAATCCTAATATTTTCTTAGTCCTTAATTCTTACATAAAGACTTAGGGGGTGTTTGGATAGAAACCAAACCATGGTTTCAAAAATGCTTTTACGGTTTACGAAGTAAATATGTAGAGGAGTTTGTCTCGTTTTACAAAAAAATACTTCTGAAATTATTAGTTTGGAGGTTGCCAAACACCACCTTAAGATTTTTTTTTACATGGGATGCAGAATACCTAAAAAGGGCTTCTTTGGAATTCTGTCTTTCTATAAATAGCCGTTGGGGTGCGAATCTTTTCCTTGCTCATCGCTACTTCGAGTTTTGTACCGTGTGAGCTTCGAGGTTAAGCAGTCACGAAAATGGCTGGTGGTGAAGATGTTGTTGTTGCTCACGATATTCAGTCTGTTCTCTCTTCTTCGGAGAGGGACTATCTCGTTCGGAACAACGGCGATCAGGTACTTCTTTTGCTTGGTTCTTTCGTTTAGCGTTTTATTCTCTCGGAAAATTATCCTAGTCTGTGATTTGAAAAGCTCGAACTCTGTATTTATTTGCGGATCCATCTTAGGTCCATAAAGACTCTTAACGCATCTGGGGTTTTGATCAACTGCCCTTGCGCTGAATTTTTACTGAATTTTTAGTTCTCTGGGGGAATAGGGTGTCTATACTGGCTGCCTATCTTATTTGATTCCTGTCTATATTTATTTTCTATCATGTTTGATTGATGAATTTCTTTTAATTATGAAACTTGTGAACTATGATACGCCAGCTTCCCCTTGGGAATTTTCTGATGGTCACATCTGATGGACCCTACCATTAGATGTGACTATAGTTATTTTTGGCTCATAGTTATTTTTTGATATGATTATAATCGCATCAATGAAAGATTGAAGAGGTTTTTCTTCGTGCGGGAAACATTCTCAGGTTAAAATCGAGAGCTTAAAGGGGAAGAGGGTTGGTTTATATTTTTCAGCATCTTGGTGCGGTCCCTGCAGACAATTCACCCCTACTTTGGTGGAGGTGTACAACGAAGTCTCTGCTAAAGGTGATTTTGAGATAATCTTTGTGTCAGCTGATGAAGATGAAGATGCCTTCAAAGGTTACTTTTCCAAGATGCCGTGGCTTGCCATCCCATTCTCCGATTCTGATACAAGGAGTCACCTTGATGAATTGTTCGAGGTGCAGGGGATTCCCCACCTTGTAATCCTTGATGAGAACGGGAAAGTTGTCACTGAAGATGGAACAGAGTTTGTACTTGAGTATAGAGCTGAAGGATACCCTTTCACAGCAGAGAGGATCAAAGAGTTGAAAGATCAAGAAGAGGAGGCCAAGAGGAACCAATCTTTGAGATCTCTTTTGGTCTCCAAGTCACGTGACTTTGTTATTTCTTCTGATGGAAAGCAAGTAAGTTTCTGTAACTTCACCCTCTGCGAGATAGACCTGAAGAAGTATTTCCTTTGCTTCAAAAGGCTGTAAACCTTTTGGGGCTGAGTTAGGAAAATCTTATTAACATTTTAATGAATCTATAATTATGGGGACACATGTAGGACAGAGTCTGAATTTCATCTTCCATTTACTTGCAGGTACCTGTGTCTCAACTTGAGGGGAAGACCGTAGGTCTGTATTTCTCATCTTTTTCATTTGTACCATCCGCTGAATTTACTCAACAGCTTGTCGAGGTTTATGAGAAGCTGAAAGCGAAGGGTGAGGACTTTGAGATTGTGTGGATATCCGTTGGGGATGATGAAGAGTCTTTCAAGGAGGGACTGAAAAATCTGCCCTTCTTGTCATTGCCCCTCAATGACAAGAGCTGCAAGAAGCTTGCTCGCTACTTTGAGCTATCAACCTTGCGCACTTTGGTTATTATTGGGCCAGATGGAAAAACCCTTCATTCCAATGTGGCTGAGGCCATTGAGGAGCACGGCGTTGCTGCATATCCTTTTACTCCCGAAAAGTTTGCAGAGCTTGCTGAGATAGAGAAGGCCAAAGAGGCAGCACAGACCCTTGAATCAATTCTGGTTTCTGGAGATCTTGATTTTCTCTTGGGGAAAGATGGGGTCAAGGTACGATTAAAACAATTGAACCTTTTTCCTTAGATATTTTCAATAGCTTTGAAAAAGGTCTTCTTCATCCGGTTGTCTTGGATGTCAATAAACATTTTAGACGCATACATCATACATGGATGTTTTGATATTGCCAGGAGATCGAAATAACAGTGAGAATTTGTCTTTGATGTCCTTGAAGTTTTGTCTTTTCTAGTATAATATTAATATGCTCTGTATGACAGTTTTTGATTTGTCATTTCAAACATGAAATTCTTATATGATATGAAATTTGACACTTGAGTTGATATGAACCAGGAAAAATAACTATGTGAATTTGATATCTGTGAAGTTCATTTTATTCATTTGTATTGAAAGATTAATATGCTTTGAGTGACAGCTTTTAATTCGTCATTCTAAGCATGGAAACTCTGTACTGTTTTAGTTGACACTGGCGTATCATCTGAACCATTCTGCTGCTTCTCTTCTATCCTCTTTTGCCTCCATTCAGTGATAATGACAGTAATTCTCCTTTATTTCAGATTCCAGTGTCAGATTTAGTGGGTAAGACGGTCCTCCTGTACTTCTCAGCTCACTGGTGCCCACCATGCCGTGCATTTCTACCAAAGCTTATTGAAGCATATCACAAGATCAAGGCTAAAGACAATGCACTCGAAGTGGTGTTCATATCCAGTGATAGCGACCAAGCATCGTTTGATGACTTCTTTGCTGGAATGCCATGGCTGGCTCTTCCCTTTGGTGACTCCAGGAAGTCATCCCTGAGCCGCAGATTCAAAGTGCGAGGCATCCCCATGCTGGTGGCCATCGCACCCGGTGGCCGGACCCTCACAAGGGGAGCCAGAGAGCTTGTCGCGCTTTATGGTGCTGAAGCTTATCCTTTCACTGAAGAAAGGGTGACACAACTTGAGGCAGGTACCAACGAAGAAGAGGAGAATGAGAAAGAAGGGTGGGTTTGTGATGGAGAGGTTTGCTCTAAGGCCTGAGCAAAGTGAAGACTGTTTGTTGCATCATTTCTATCTCAGGCATCTTATTGTGTGTATTTCAAAATTTGTGTAATATTATGTTGGGCTTGAATATCATAAATAAATAAAAATGTAGTTACCAAAAAAATAGATGCGATCCTTTTATCTTTCTTATTATGCATTATGGATTGTGATTTCTTATCTTAAGAAGTGAGGGAAGCTCAAGTTAAACCAAGAGGTGTGTTTTTATTAAGTGTGATTAGCATTATGAAATATTTTGTAGTTTATTTAACATCTTGAAATATTTTATTGATGCTTTCAATACCCTAAAAAAATACTGAAATAAATACTTTGTGGTGGTTTAATTGAACAGATTTTTTGAGGAGTTAATGACAAATTTAAAATTACTCATGAAATAATATTTTAACAGTACAATTGCTTTTGAAAAAAAATTAATACTTTAAATAAAAATTATGCTACGAAATATTTCAGAATATTAGATGTATCTAAAAAATATTTCGAGATTTTTCATGTATTATAAAATATTTTAGGATGCTGAATATATTAATAAACACTTTAAGCACCGTACCTTAACCCAACTAAACATTGTAACTGCTGCAACACAAAGTGAACAAGTTGTGTTAGACGGCTCCAAAGTAACTCAAGTAATGTGAATCATATATACAATTTTATGGTTTTTCAGTACAATGGCAGAAATTTTCGTGAAGCTAAGAATTGTGTTTTAATGAAGAGAAAATTTGTTTCATTATTTGATAACTCAAAGCTTAAGTGAATTTTAGTTAAGGAACATTTTAAGAACTTAAGTGAAACATGAGTCATTTCATGAAAAAAAAAATCAGTTAAAATAATTGTGTTTAATTTAATCAATTTCGTATGATCAAAATTATGTCACTTTTTACTAACAAGTTGTTGATTAAGGTGATAAGTGGCATCACTCACTCTTGTTAAAAAAAGAACACAAATTTAAATTTTAAAAAGTACGTGAGATAGACGAAATTTTTTTACTTTCTAAGACTTGAGAGGAAAAATCCTTGATTAACTAAAAAAAATTACATTATTTCTCTACCATGTGACTTTTATGTTCCATTTTATTCATTATTCATGTTTTATCTTTTACTTTTAGCCAGAATTCATGTTTATTTAATTATTTAAGAACTATTCAATTTCAATTTTTCCCCTTAATGATAGATTTTGATTTGTACGTGTTTATGTGGTGGTTATTTCAAATAATTTATTTTATAACTACTATTCTTATATATGTGAAAAATTCTTGTAGATAAGCATCAAACCAAAAATTCTGACACCGTCGTAACACTTACCTTCCCCTTTTAATTGGGCAATCACAGTCAAAAAAGCAAAGGGAAAAAGGGAAAAAGGAGGGAAGGAACAGAAAAAAGAAAAGAAGCCTCACGCCTCTCCTTCCGTTCTGCTTTCCCCAAACGCATCTTCGTCTTCCTCTGGTTTGTTGTGCGCCGTAGTGTATGTGTGTCCAAGCTTCACTAGTTCACCTCCTCTGCTGAACTCCTCTTTTTCATTTCTGCTTCTGGACGTCTGATCATTGACCAAGGAAGGAGTTTGAGCGGATGAGTGATTAAAAGGTTGAAAGAAATGTATTTTGTTTAACAGGTATTATATTTTAAATTTTTCTGGGCCGTTTCTCTATAATTAGTTGAAGTTATAGTTGATTTTTCCAGGCTGAATCATGTTAATAAATTAGGGGTTTTCGCTTCATTAATGAAACTTTGAATGAGGAAGTCTTGTGAAGCTTTGTTGAGATATGGAAGTGGCTTGGATATCGATTTGAGAATCTAAGAAGGTTGTTGTTTCTATTGACTTCATTTTTTCTTGCGAACCGCCTTCTTGTCCGAAGCTACATTTAATTCGGTGCTGTAAGGCCCGTGGCTACGCAGTGACAAAAATGGCCGGTGCTGATGATGTCTCCCATGATATTCAATCGATCCTCTCTTCTTCGGAGAGGGACTATCTCGTTCGGAACAATGGCGATCAGGTGCTTATTTGGTTCTTGCATTTAATCAATTGAGCCGCTATCGGATTTTTTAATTTCTCCGAAAATTATTCAAGTCTGGGATTTGAGGGCAAAAACACTGTATTTCTTCACGAACCCATCATAGGTCCATGGATTCAAGAATATCTGAAGTTTTGATTGACGGCCTCCGCACTAGATTTTTAGTCTTCTAAGTGAATAGGGTGTGCAATTTTCTATTTCCTTGTCCGTACTTGCTGCCCATCTGATTTTATCACTGTCTCTCTGTATTTTCTATCGTGTCTGATTCCCGAATTTCTTTTAATTACCAAGCCTGTGAATTATGATACACCAGCTTCTTCTTCAGAATTTTCACGGGTTAAAATAGGCTGGTAAATCAAAAAATGAAATGCAAAATGATCTTTGAGCGCGAATGCTGGCAAACTCTACAATTAGATATGATGTTTCATTGGAAATTTATAGATCATAGGTGGTGTTTCAAATGATTAACTTGTATCTTGAGGAAGTCATTGTTTATGCTGTAAACATTTTCAGGTTAAAATTGAGAGCTTGAGTGGGAAGAAAGTTGGTTTATACTTTTCAGCATCTTGGTGCGGTCCCTGCCGACAATTCACTCCTACTTTGGTAGAATTATACAATGAAGTCTATACTAAAGGTGACTTTGAGATGATCTTTGTGTCGGCTGATGAAGATGAAGACGCCTTTAAAGGTTATTTTTCCAAGATGCCATGGCTTGCCATTCCATTTTGTGATAATGACATACGCGATCGCCTTGATGAATTGTTCAAGGTGAGGGGGATTCCCCACCTTGTAATACTTGAGGAGAGTGGGAGAGTTGCCACTGAAGATGGAGCTGAGGTTGTACGTGAGTATGGAGCTGAGGCATACCCTTTCACAATAGAAAGGATCAAAGAGCTAAAAGACCAGGAAGAAGCGAAGAGCAACCAGTCCTTGAGATCTCTTTTGGCCTTCAAGTCACGTGACTTCGTTATATCTTCTGATGGAAAGGAAGTGAGTTCCTGTAACCTTACTCTCTGCTTGAGATGGAACTGGACATGTGTTTCCTCTCGTAAAATGTCAAATATGGCTGCTCCAATCCTCAAAAGGCTATGAGTTTGTTGTTGAGGCTAAGCCAGCCAATTCTTATTTTAAATTTTAATAAATTAATTCTTTAGATACATGAAGGATAGAGTTTGAATTTCACCTTCCTTTTATTTGCAGGTGCCTGTGTCTCAACTTCAGGGGAAGACTGTGGGCCTGTATTTCTCATGTTTTTCATACAATGCATCTGCTAAATTTACCCCAAAGCTTGTGGAGGTTTATGAGAAGCTGAAAGCAAAGGGCGAGGACTTTGAGATAGTGTTGATATCCATTGGTGATGCTGAAGAATCATTCAAACAAGGACTAGAAAGTGTGCCCTGGTTGGCATTGCCGTACAAGGACAAGAGCTGTGAGAAGCTTGCTCGCTACTTCGAGCTATCGACCTTGCCCACTTTGGTTATTATTGGGCCAGATGGGAAAACCCTTCATTCCAACGTGGCTGAGGCCATTGAAGATTATGGCGTTGCTGCATACCCTTTTACTCCTGAGAAGTTTGCAGAGCTCTCTGAGATAGAGAAGGCCAAAGAGGCAGCCCAGACCCTCGAGTCTATTATGGTTTCTGGAGATATGGATTTTGTCTTGGGGAAAGATGGAGTCAAGGTATGATTCTTGTAACAATTGAACCTCATGCATGTGTCCTCTGCTTCTTAGATATTTTCAACGTTGTGTGCATCGTCATCTTCACCCTCATATCTTGAATGTCAAAAGGCATTTAAGATGCAGGAGGCGTGTATGTTTTGGTATTAACAATAGACTAACGTAGCTATGAGTTGATGTCTTTGGAATTTATTACATCCTAAAAAGACCGGCCAATCACAATAGGCATATTAGAGCTAAGCCCAAACAACCCATAGAAAGAGGCCGGCCCAATAAAAAAGAAAAAACACAAACAGAAAGCTGGTATTAACAATACTCCCTCCATTTCTTATTATAAGAGACATTTGATGTTTATGGCATGTTCTTATATATAAGAGACACTTAAAAGTTGTCTCTACTTTTTTGTGATGATTTCCTATTTTACCCATATTTATTGTCTCCAACTCACACTCTTTCTTCTTCCCACCTCTCTTTCTTTTAATAATTTACCATTGTTCTCTCTCATGCTCTCTCTCCTTATTAATGAGGGCATTTTTGGAAAAAAAATTATACTTTTTACACATTGATTGTTCTTAACTAATTTTAACAGTTTTTTTGATCAATGTAATTCGGTTATTCGTCTCTTATAATAAAGAACGGAGGGAGTAGTTAAAAATAACTGAGTTACTAATGGGATTGGGTCTAGCGGAAAGGGCTAGTCTCTCATAACATCGTGAACCAAGGTTCAAATCTATACTGAGAGAGGTGCTTACATTTAGTACCTGACAGTATTTTCAATAAAATTGCCTCTAGTAGAAGAATACTTATACTTTAACAAAAAAAAAAAAAAAACCGAGTTGATATCTTTGTATTCTAGTCTTTTGGAATAAAATATTAATTTAATTTGTCTTCTTGTATGATACTTTTTGACTTGTCATACCAAAGATGAAACTCTTAACTAAAACAAAATTTCACCCTTGGTATCTTCATAACCGTTCTGCTGCTTCTCTCCTATCCTCTTCTGTCTCCATTCTGCGATAATGAGGTCCCCCCCGGGGGGCCCTCTACTGATTCGAGGGACGTTCCGGACAAAATCTTAAATACTATGATATACTACCTCCGGTCTTTTTTTTTTTTTGCTTGCGCACCCGGTGTCCTGGCCAACCCCGCAGGGACGGACCACCCCTAGGGTGAATTCAATTACAAACCAGACTAATCCGGACCGAGGCATGACAGGAACCATTAAGGTTGGCACCCCTGGCCCCTAAGATGCTACGTTCCCAGGGCTCGAACGTGAGACCTCTGGTTAAGCTAGAACGACTCCTGCCAGTCGATCTAATCGTCGGGGTTTACTACCTCCGGTCTTTAATATAAGACCCCGTTTGACTTTTAGTTTGGTCTTAATTATAAGACCCCAATCCATTTTGTCTCTCATATTTATGTATTTTTTCCCAAGATAGTCTTTCTAATAATGATAGTTCTAACCAACACACTTAATTAGCAAGGATATTTTAGGAATGACAACACTTATTTGTTACAAATAACTAACTTAACTTACTTCCTTAATCTCCTCAAATTAATCAACTGGGTCTTATAATTAGGACCAGAGGTAGTATTTGACACTCAAGTATCCTGAACCATGTTCCAATGATACGATTCTCCCTTAGCCTCTTCTTTCACCATTCTCTGATAATGATGGTCATTTTCCTTCTTCTACAGATTCCAGTGTCAGATTTAGTGGGGAAGAATGTCCTCCTATACTTCTCAGCTCACTGGTGCCTACCATGCCGTGCATTTCTGCCAAAGCTTATTGAAGCATATCACAAGATCAAGGCAAAGGACAATGCACTGGAAGTTGTCTTCATCTCTAGTGACAGGGACCAAACCTCGTTTGATAACTTCTTTTCTAAAATGCCATGGCTGGCCCTTCCCTTTGGTGACTCGAGGAAGGCATTCCTGAGTCGCAAATTCAAGGTGTACGGTATCCCCATGCTGGTGGTCATTGGACCCAGCGGCAGGACTGTCACGAAAGAGGCCAGAGATCTCGTCATGCTTTACGGCACCGAAGCATATCCTTTCACCGAGGAAAGGGTGAAGGAACTCGAGGCGGCATCAGAAGAGATGGCAAAGGGTTGGCCTGAGAAGGTGACTCACAATTCTCATGAACATGAGCTTGTGTTGAGTCGCTGTAATATTTACAACTGTGATGGTTGTGACGAGGAGGGTCACACATGGTCATACTGTTGTGAGAAGTGTAACTTTGATCTCCACCCAAAATGTGTATTGGAGGAAGAGAAATGTAAACAAGGGAATAGAACAGAAGGGTGGGTTTGTGATGGAGAAGTCTGCTTTAAAGCCTGAGGTGAATACTGTTACATTGAAGTTTGTTTAACTGTGTGTATTGCAAAATATGTGTGTGATATGTATGATAATACGTTGGGCTATAATATTATAAAGTTTCATCTGTGTCATTATGCATTATGGATAGTATTATTCTTCTGCGACGTGGAGATAAAACTTTAGCTTGGAAAAGGCAAACCGAAAAATCTGCATGTTTTATTGAATATCACAGATGATACCAGGCGAACCATAAGCAAGTTGTATCAGATGTACCCAAAGGAACTTGAGTAACGAGAATGATATCTATAATGCTATCATGATATTTAATATAAAAGCTAGTTTGATTTTTAATTTGATTTTAAATATGAAGTTTTAATTCAGTTTGTCTTTTATATATATATATATATTTAAATAGTGTTTATAATAATTGTACATATTAAAGGTTTTATTAAATGGTAGTTTTAACTAATATACATTATTAACAAAAGTATTTTAGAAAAGATAATATGTATTTATTACAAATAACTAATCTAATTATTTTTTTAATTTTTTGAAATTAACTAACTAAATCTTATATTAAGAAACCGAGTTAGTACTTTTAGTTATTATTATAAGAGTTGGTTGACTAATTTGAGTATATTAAAAAAATTTATGAAGTTAGTTACTTGTAATAAATAAACATCCTTCTAATTTTCATATCGCAGGGTTTAATCTGCGCCTGCAAACGTTTCGGCATTTGCCAACTCGAGAAAAGAAAAAGAGAAAGATGAATGCTTCATATTTGTATCTACATGTGAGCTGTTCTGGTCACAACAAATTGGCAAGAGAGGTTTCCCAAAAAAAAAAAAAAGATGGTACAGAAAAATCAAAGCATAAAGAAACTAAATGGACTACTTTCACATGGTAAACACACATGAACTAAGCATAATTGCATTATATAAATGTACTTTCCATTTTCCATCTTTATTTATTATCAAACTAAGTGGACAACCATTTGTTTTTTGGGCCAGAACTAAATGGATAACCTGCACATTGCAAACACATGAAACTAAGCGTAGTTGCATTATATAAATGCCACATCAACGAGCATGGCAAATAAGTTGACAAAAAATTTATAAATGCTAGTCTTAATATGAGCTACAAATTAATGACTATGATTTGATCACGAAAAACTTCACCAAAGGAAAAATAATAAAGGAAGGCCAGCCATGAACAGCTCTATATGTTTTTTATTTAAAAAAAAACAGAAAGAAAATGAAGATTTTAATTTGTCCATTTAAATGTGTTTAAATTATAAAATTAATCGGTTGGCGAAAAAAATTTATAGAATTAATCGTTAATCAAACTTTACGATAGGATCAAAGTTATATCATTTCAGCAATATAACGAAGATGCTAGAAACTAGAGAGAAGGTGTTACAAAAGAAAAGAAAGAAAGTTCTTTTCTTTTGTTTTTTTTTTTTTAATGTAAACTATATTCATCAAAGTTTAGTACAAAAAACAACCAACAGAGTTAGGTCTCAATATCAAACTCCTCTTCTCCTTGCATAAGAGGCGAAGGTTGATCAAGAGTACAAAAATTACTCACCAAACTATGTGAGGATTTTGCTAAATAATCAACAATTCCTAAGTTTTTCCTTGAAGTGTGACAAATAGAAAGTTCTTATAATCAAGACAAAATAAAAAATACCTACTCTTCCGGTTCTTAATATAAGACCCATTTAACTAATTTGATTAGATTAAGGAAGTTATGTAAGTTAGTTAATTATAAGAAAATTGACACATTTTTCCTAAAACACCATAATCATCTTTCTTAATACTCCCCCTCTCTCTTTTACTTAATTATGGTTGAGGGAGTATCTATAGGGATAATTTAGAAAAAATTGATAAATATGAGAAATGAGTCTTATATTTAGGACCAAAACCAACTCAAGAATTGGGTCCTATATTAAGGACTGAAAAAGTATTATATTAGTTGTGTTCTTTTCAAGCCTACAAAAATCTTATACAAATAGTCGTACAATTAAAGAACTTCCCATCTTTGTTATAAAACTCATTTAGAGGAAATAATTGTTATTATAAGTCACTTGATGAGTACTAATTGAAAGAAAATACTTTAGTAAATTTTTTTTATATTTACTATGTCAAATTCGCCAATTACATATAGTTGTATGTCCTATTTATTTTCATATAATTTTATAATTAAATAATAGTATTTTAAAAATAGGACATATTACTATGTGCGGTTGAAAAATTTGATATAACTGATATAAAAAAACTTGATATAACTATTATCCTTAATTAATTTTTTTAATATTAATTCTTATTTAAAGTTATTAGCTATGAAGTGAACATATAAAAATTTTCAATTTAAATGATAGATTTATTTTAGTTTTAGACAAAACTAATGACTTAACTTTTTTTTTGGTTCTGATAAAGTTGTAAGTATGCTTTTTTGATTTTTTTCATTTGTTGCCACCAAAGTATACCTTTTTTATTTCTTCTTACAGTATGCGTATACATACATACATAAATATATATTATCTCATGTTCTAATTATAATATCTTATTTTTAATTTATAAAGGGATAATTAATCCGCAAATCCTTATAGTTTCAATCAATTTTGAATTAGGTCCTTATAGTTTTTTTTCTTTTTATCAGATCCTTATACTTTCACTTGTTTTTAATTAGGTCCTTGTATTTATTTTTCTTTTTATCAAGTCCTTATAAGTTCATTTTATTTTTAATTAAGTCCCTGAATTTTTTATTCTTTATTTTATGGATTCTAATAGTATTATTATATAAACATAAAATAGTATATATTGTTTAATATTAGTTTATAAACAATAATATTCTAAAGATATTGAATTATTATAATGATTTTAAATTTTTCAGCAAAAAAATTAATTGTTCTAAAAAATTTTCCTGAATTAATTAATTCTATTATTTTTTTATTACATAATTATTAATTTAATTTACTTATTAATATTTTATATTTCATTATTAATCTATTTAATTAAGCTTATATTTAATTAATAAATAAAAATTAAAACTACATGGACCTGATTAAAAATTTAATGAAATTATAAGGACTTAATTAAAAGAAAATAAATACAAGGACCTAATTAAAAAAAGGTAAAAGTATAAGGATCTAATAAAAAGAAAAAAAACTATAGGGACCTGATTCAAAATTGGTTGAAACTATAAGGACTTACGGATTAATTAACCCATTTATAAATAAGGTCTTAGAATTAAAATCAGAAGTAATATTAAATTTTAATATGTCGAGCTGTCTTAAATTTAGCGTATAAAATACTAGTATATAATTTTGCGTGCTACAGCCACCCAAGGCATCAAGCATAGTATAACGAAGAGGAAGCAAAAACGTGGGAAAATCCTGTGGTGGGCGAGTCCTGTACGTCTTCCAGAGGGCAAATCGAGAATGAGCTCCACGTGCTGTTCTTACTTCTCCCCCTCTACGCTCTGTGGGCAGGTAAAATCATATAATTACAAAGTGGAAAGATCACTTTTTCCATTCCCAAATCACGAGCGGAGATCTGGGATTTGCTCGCTGCAGGAGAAACATTCCGCGCGATTCAATTTGATCATCCCGGTAATTCAACTTTGAATCTCATTTTTTCGAATTTATCTTTGTTCAATTTCACATTTAATCGTTTACTGTTAAGTAGGCTTACCTTTGTTCTTTGTCACCCTTACCAAGTTCAAGCGCTCTGGTGAATCCCTTTTGCCGCTTATCCATTTCCTGTGCTTTTTCTGCATCGCATTTTCTCGTGGGTTTTGCTTGCTCTAGCTTTTTGGTTGAATTGAATGCCTTCAATTTTGTGCTGGAGTGGCTTAGAGACGTTATTTGTTAAGACCGAATTGTAGTTTCGTGTTTGTTATATGAATTTGTTTCACTCTTTTAAACATTTCCAGTTTTGATGGGCGAGTCGGAGGTGACCAAATCCAGCTTAAGTGTCAACAAGAACGAGAAAGATGGATCCCCCAGGGTTTTAAATCCTGCAATACCTACATTCCTTTTGCAGCTTCCGCACAAGTTTCATAATGCTCTCAAGGTTAACTACCTTTTTCTGACGCTTCAAAAGCTACTTAGAGCCTTCATGTGAGATTTGACAGTTATCTTTCTTTTCTGATTACAGTCACAGCTCCGTAAATTTGCCAAAAATGACGGAATCAATAGGGTGAGCTCTGTCCAGAAAAATCAGAGTGGGTCACTTAGTGCCTCGGAAGCTGAATTAGATGAGCAATTGAGAGCATGGAGAGAAAATCCTTCTTGGGTTGATAATCCTTCCAAAATAAAGGTGATATTTTGAGTTTTCTTTCCTAAGCGGAAACTTGGCTTGACAAGAAATATATGAGTTAAAAGTTTGCATTAATTTCTACTTTGTTTATCATGCTACTATAAACCTTCCAGATAGATGGTTTGTTTGCTGATGAAATTTGATGGAGATTTAAATAATTGTCAATTAAGAGTGAAAGAACTGCATCACTAGATACCATGTCAGACATTCTAGGCCAGAATGCTGATACCTTTCTTCATGATTGTGCAACCTGTTTCATGTTTTATATCTAAAGAATAGACATTTTTCGAGAACCCATGCATCTTTGTTCATATGGGGGTACAATATGTATATAACATGAAGTTCATTTTGGCAGGTGACTGTACCAAAAGGTTCTCTTTGCAACCTGAATGTGGAAGTCAATGTTGGCCTGCCGCCTGATGCAGTATACAATATAGTGATTGATCCTGACAATAGAAGAGTTTTCAAAAATATCAAGGTAGGTGACTCATTGTTCAGTGTTTCATCAGAACCTTTTTAGGAGGTGCTTTCATAACCCTTGGAAATTGCACTGGGAGAAATACTCTGTCTTCTATTTGAGATTCTACAGTTCATTTTGACAATGCATTTCTTGGTCAGGAAGTAATATCCAGAAAAGTATTGCTTGATGAGGGCCACAGGCAAGTAGTGGAACTTGAACAAGCAGCGATTTGGAGATTTCTTTGGTGGTCAGGGACTATCTCGGTTCATGTTTTGGTGGACCAAAATAGAGAAGACCACTCTGTAAGGACCTATTTCCTCTTTGGATAATGAATGAATTTGTAGTTGTTGATCTAATTAAATGGAGTATATACTTAGATCAATTGAAAATCATCTGGTTTATGATTTCCCTTTAAACTGAAAATCATCTGCTCAGGCACTATCGTTATCTTGGATCAATTCACAGTTACTTTCGTTTTGTATCATAGAAATTGGTATCAGCTGCTCATGGATTTTGTGATAGATTTTTTACTCTTGTAAACTGATCTTTTTTATATCAAATCACTCGATATCTGGAAGTTATATTGGACTTATACTAATCCAACTCTCCCAAGTAGATTTTAAATTGATTTTTGAAAAGGAAAGAGAATGTGTTTTAATTTACTTTCATATATGACGTATCTTATCACCCCAAGTTTGGAAGACAAGTCTAACACCAGAATCGTAAAAGGACACGTCGGTAAGCACATGGCTTCAATTTCTTGCATTGCACTTTACTGATACCAATTATGGGCAGCCCCCCCCCCCCCCACTTTACTAATTCTTGTATTTTTATGCCAGATGAGGTTCAAGCAAATTAAGACTGGATTCATGAAAAAATTTGAGGGTTGCTGGAGGGTAGAACCTCTATTTGTTGATGAGAAAACTTGCTATCCCTTTAAACCAATGAATAAGGAAGAATATAATGCATGTACCAGAGGGAAGGGAAGAATAGGGTCCAGAGTGAGCCTTGAGCAAATACTTCAGCCAGCCGTTGTCCCACCCCCTCCCATATCCTGGTATTTGAGAGGAATTACCACTCGGACGACCGAGATGCTTATAAATGATCTGCTCGAAGAAACTGCCAGGATCAGAGGAGGATTTGAAGCTGGAATGTCTAACGGAGAGATTCAGGGAGCATCTGATGAAATCCAAAATCTTGTCGGTGACACAAGTGACATAAAAGGGCGATGGCTTTTGCGTCGAAAAAATGCAAAGCAGAATCGGAGAAGACTTCATCCTGACAGCTGATTACTTCTTCAAAGTGCCAAGTTTTGTTTTCTAAAAGCAGCAAGGAGAGGGTTACCAAGTATTGTGAAGTGATAAGTCTAAATTGCTGCATTGTAGTTCGTTATAATTGACCACTGATATCTGATGTAATTGTCTAGATTTCTTGACGAGCCGTTTACATTAGAAGATGCTACTGAATGCATCTCATTACATGCTGACGCTGATCAATTTATGAAAAATTGGTCAATAATTTTCATCCCAGTCGGATAGTTTCTTGTGGGAATTGGAGCTTATGCATTTACCTTCAGATAAAAAATAGTTAATAAATAGAAGTGAGGAAGTTGGCCTTGTAAGGTTTTACTATGATGGCTTTTTGGTCGTACTATTGTAACAAGTGAAAGGAGACACTGAAATGAACGAGTTTTGGGTTGGCCTGAATGACTTCAGATTGATGTGACATTATAAAAACAATTAAGAACTCAAATTGTTCGTCCTAATTTGTCTCCTTGTAAAATGTTTTCGCGTGTGAATTCAGCAGAAGTCCTCCTTTTCAATGTTCCGCAAGTGATTTGTGATGTTAATTCCTTCCCAATGCTAGCTCATGAAACAAAAGGAATTAGTGCATGCTCTATTTTGTGTGCTCATTCACGGTTTCTTACTCCTTCCAGCGCTCCCATTTCATTCTTGCTCTTCTTTGCTTTGTTCAAGCATGTGATAAATGGACACATGTTATTGTTAATACTCTTGTGGCATTTGATAAACTTGATCGGACATCTTAGTATATACTATTTCCAGTCCTAATTATAAGAGCTAGTTAACTAATTTGAAAAAATTAAGAAAAGAAATTGATTTAGTTATTTGTAATAAATAGGTGTTGTCTTTCCTAAAATATTATTGCCAATCAAATGTACTGGTTAGAACCATTATTATTAAAAGGACTACTTTGAGGAAAAAAAACATAAATATGAGAGACAAAATGGATTGGGATCTTATATTTAGAACTAAAATAAAAGTCAAACAAAATTTTATACTCCTCCGGTCCTAATTATAAGACCCAATTGACTTATTTGAGGAGATTAAGGAAGTAAGTTAAGTTGGTTATTTATAATAAATAAGTGTTGTCATTCCTAAAATATCCTTGCTAATTAAGTATATTGGCTAAAACTATCATTATTAGAAGGATTATCTTGGAAAAAAATGCATAAATATAAGAGACAAAATGGATTGGGGTCTTATAATTAGGACCAAATAAAAAGTCAAATGGGGTCTTATAATAAGGACCGGAGGAGTATATAAAACCCGAGGTATTATAATGGTATAGGAGACATGACACGATAGATTCAATGTGTTAGTGTTAAATCATGTTAGTTGCATAATAAGTTTTTCTCCCTTTTGACCTATTCCATTGGTACTATTTTTTCTTTTTTATACAAAAAAGTGTCATGTCTTATATGGTACGGGAAGTATATGGGCTAATGATTAATTATCATTTAGCTTGCTCTAATTGCATTGAATATCTAAATCTTTTTATTTTATTTATCGGGAGATGTGGTGGAGAGATTAAGAATTGTTCTCTAGTGATGAATTTTGGAAACTTTTTACTATAAGAATTCTTTTTACGTCACTTACACCTGATATTGGAGAAATCATTCTTCAACGCATCGATTTTGTAAATCGTTACCAACGATTTTTGTTACAGAATTTTGGTAAATTCTCTCTAGAAGATAACATTTTAGTTTTTTTTCCCCTTGTTTATAATATATTGATTAAAAAAAGCCATTTGTTTGCTAAAGCATAAGTATCCTCCTATTGGAAGTAATCTTATTCGAGACACTGTCAGGCACTAAATGTGGGCACCTCTTCTAGCGGGGATTCGAACCTTGGTTTGTCACGTTGTAATAGATTAACCCCTTCCGCTAAACCCAATCCTCGTTGGTAAAAAAGCCATGTTAATCAAACACATGGTGCGTTATTACAACAGATTGCAAAAGATTACAATGTCCTATCTTCGGTCCTTAATATAAAAGTTAGTTAACTAATTCAAGTAAATTAAAAAAGTTTGTTAAGTTAGTTATTTGCAATAAATAAGCACTATTTTTTCTAGAATACCCTTACTAATTATGTGTATTAACTATAATAACTATTTGTTGGAATCTTTAAATGTGCAACTATTACAAGGACTGTTTTGAAAAAAATAGATAAATATGAGAGACAAAGTAAATTTGGGTCCGTATTTAGAACAAAATTGAAAGTTAAACCAGTTCTCATATTAAAGACTGGAGGTAGAATTTTACAATGTATGCGATGAAAGGATGAAATGTGATATCAGAAAGCAAGCAGGCTGAGGAGCTATTGCAATTTCTTATTCGCAAGCAAGCTTTTCCTAATAATGTCTGTTATACGGAGTATATCATTCAAATTTATTAAGTTTTTAGATATATTATTTATTATGAAATTTCATTCTATAACTTTTCAAGTATTATTTTATGCAGCTAAAAACACCACCAAACATAAGTACATGAAACAACAATTCCTATGGCATTTACGTGAGGTCAGCTGCACAGAATGTATGATACCATTGAATTATATTATGACTAAGCACGCAAAAATCAAATCAAATCGGCATACATAAATGAATAAGTTCATTGAAATATATCTTACATAATTGTATGTTTACTTGCGTCTTAAAAGGCTTTACTAACTAATATTTATAAGTTGATGTTTCTATTATTTCTTTAATTATGTATATCGTACGATTAGATGATATCAAATCAAATCAAATCAATCAAAGATTATCTTAATATCTTATCATATCTTATATCTCTTAGAAACTAAATCTAAAAGATATTAGAATCAAGGATTCCATGGTTAGCTTCAGTTGTAGTGAGGATGTAATAAAAAGAACAGACCGCCTTCTCTCCAAACCCATTCAGACACAGTTTTCCTAATGCCGTCGTCTCCTTCAGTGGGACTCTGTCCGTGGCAATCAAGGGTAATCTAACCAGTGATGAGTTGTTAAACATGTTGTAAGTAATGTGTGTGGGTACGTGAAAAGAAGAGTTCCATGTTGTTTGGGACCAAAACATTCTTCAAAGAATGATTGGCTCACAAACAACCAAGTCCGATGATAGCCTCACTATTGCGGCTTGTACTGCTGCTCGGCAAGGCAACAATCCCAAACCAGATTCTTGGATTATTGATTCTGGTGCTACTTATCGTATGACAAGTAATATGTTTCTCCTTTATGACTTTACCTATAGCCCTTCTCGTTCCTTTGTGAATGTTGCTGATGGGTCAAAAGCAGAAATGGTAGGAATTGGCAAGGCCAAACTTGATGATGATTTGTGTCTTGACAATACTTTTCATGTTCCTACTCTTGATTGTAACTTAATTTCTGTAAGTAGTCTCACCAAAGCCTCCCAATGCCCCACTAAATTTGATGAATATGGTTGTGTAATTCAAAGTTTGGAAATGGGAAAGATGATTGGTAGTGCTGAAGAGTGCAGTGGCCTTTACTACTTTATGGGTTCGAGGAGTTTTGCTGCTGTTTCATTGATTCAGAGTAATGACGCTGTCTTATGACATTTTCGGTTAGGGCATCCCAGTTCTTCTTATCTACGTAAGATGTATCCCCTTTTGAGAAATAGAATTTCAGATTCTATTCAATGTGATATTTGTGAGCTTTCCAAGCATATCAAAGCATCATATCCTCATCGCTCCCACAAACCATCTAAACCTTTTACCTTGCTCCATAGTGATCTTTTGGGGCCATCTAGTAAAAAATATCAATGAAGTTAGATGGTTTATAACCTTTATTGATGATTATACTCGACTTGCCTGGGTGTATCTATTGAAAGAGAAGTCTGAAGTACCATATGTTTTCCGGATATTTCATGCACTCATCAAAAATCAATTTGAAACGAGAATTCAAATCCTACAAAGTAACAATGGGAGAGAATTTGTTAACTCTACCATGAACACCTTTCTTTCACAACATGGCATTATCCATCAAACTTCTTCTGTTAACACCCTTCAACAAAATGGGGTAGCTAAAAAGAAAAATGGACAAATTTTTTTACAAGTTGGCCGATCCTTATTATATGCCAATAATGTTCCCACACATTATTGGGGAGAGGCCATCCTTACAGCCACTTATCTAATCAGTTGAATGCCATCCTGTGTTGTGTTTTGTTACCCCATTTCAAAAGCTCCTTGAATGTTATCTACCTCAAAACCCATGGGTTTCCTACCTCCTAAAATCTTTGGGTGCACACCATTTATTCATGATGAACTCTCCGATAAACTAGAACATCAGTGCCCTAAATGTATTTTTATAGGATATCACCCATCTCAAAAGGGGTACAAGTGCTACTATCCAAAATCTAACAAGAAACTCTATATTTCTTTCAATGTTACATTCCATGAGAACTTGCCCTTTTATCCCCAGGCACCCATTCAGTGGGAGTACACATTCCAGGAATGGATGCCTAGGCATCAAGAACAAGTTGAAATCTTACCTATGGTGCCAACCATGCTTGAAACAATGCCCAATCAGCCTGAAATAGTGAGGCATGGAGATTTTCATTGACGCTAATTATGGAGGTTCGATGCCAAACATTAGATTTAGGAGATGCTACCTCTATGTGGGGAAATTTGGTGCCTTGGAGAAGTAAGAAACAGGTTGTTTCAAGAAGCAATGCACAGTCCGAACCTAGAGCATTGGCATGGTGAAGATGTTTTGTAATACCACATCAACTTTAAAGATGGCTAAGAATCCTATTCAGCATGACAAAACGAAAATGTGTGGAGATCTATCAGCAAATAGCATACTTACCAAAGACTTTGAAAGACCCAAATTTGTAGAGCTCACATCCAAGTTGGGGTTCATGAACATATACTCCCCAGGTTTTGAGGGAATGTTGAAAGGTGTTATTAATTAATATTTATAAGTTAATGTTTCTATTATTTCTTTAATTATGTATACCCCAGGATTAGATATTAAAATCTAGGATCCTAGGGCTAGCTTCAATATTTTCTGCCTACGTTAAGGCCATGTATTTAAGAGTGAGAACTAAATAAAAAGAACAGAGGCACTTTTTCACCTCCGCTTTCAGTCGCCAAGCATGTAAAAATCAAATCAAATCAAATTAGAAAATGTAGATGAATAATTTTATTGGATATGTCCAATTGTAATTTTGATAGTGATTGATTTGATTTGTGGATATTTTTTTTGTCAGTAGGAATAATGTATTTTTATTGAATTGTAATTCACCATTGCCCAACTGTCCAATCTTCATCAGAGAAGCAGACAGAGAGCTCGTCCAAATTCAGAAAAGAAAAGGAAAAAGAATCCGTTAGAAAGTGATAAGGTCACAGTCAATGTAGTCAAATAATCTTAAATATCATTAGCTTTTCTACAAGCCCTCTCCATCATTCTTATTTTCTATGTTGCTATAATTTCAAGTTTCGATTGTCTGTCACATATGGTGTTAGACCTGACAACCATTCTACAGAATACAAACTATACAAAGTCAGAAACTCAGGTCATGCAGAGACAACGTAGAATTGCCTCATCTAAGCTTTATAGAAAGTACACTCTATGCTTTGATCTGCACTGGACTCCCCATCTAGCGGAACTTGTGTTTTACTCACAGCAGAGCATGCATTATTGGGATTTGGTTGCTCTGCTTGCTTCACCAATAATTCCTGAAGGCCATGCTTATCAGAACTCATGAAAGCACCCATCGCTCCAAGAAAGCCTTCATGCCTTAAGAACATTGCTTTTGCCTCACCTTTGGACCTGTCATGATGAAAACAGTTGTATATTCTACTTTTTGTTAGTTTCTTTTTTGTTCCCTGATACTAATTATGCAGAAAGACAGATGCGAAACAGCAAATCGGCTCAGAGATCACACCCAAACCTTCCATAGGTTGAAAAGTTAGATGGATCTAGCTAACTAGACATACAAGCTTTTGGACACATGAGCTTACAGTAAGGTCAGCCTTAACATGCTTATATACATATTCATGACTAACTTGGTCCATCTGTTTCTGTAAGCTAGGTCCATCCCAGAATTTACAATTCAGTCTCCCTCAACCATCAACCCCTTGTTGTTTCTGAAAACCGTACTTGGCATTTTGTGTAAAAATTGGCAACATGGATAAATACTAGTGTTTGCCCGAATTGCTAAAGATCTTCTCATTTGATCATTCTGAACATACCATTTCTTGCCTATAGTATATCTTGAGAACTATATCACACAAAGTTTTACGTATTAAGAAGTGTTTTATACTTCTATCTCAGAGAAAGCATTAAATCTCTGATGTGTTCTGTGATGGGTAAAAACAAATTAATATGGCTTACTATAGCCAGTTATGAAGCACTAAATTGGCCGGGGGTGCAGAGGGAGCTTCACGCACTCACCAGAAATTAACAGCAACAGATAGTGTGTCCATTGTAAATGGATGGCTCCGAATAAAAAATCCAGCAAAAAAAATCCTCTTCAGCCCAAATAGAACAGCATTTAAGTAAGAGATCTGAGATACAAAAGAAAAAACGAATCAAATACCTCGTCTACTTAATTTGAAAAGCGTGATATATGGGTGTCACTTTCCTATCTGTAAAATTGTACATTGATTCCCCAAGCAAAACAGTTTCTCTATATTTTCATCCAAAACAACTTTTACAAAACCCTATAGCAACAGAAATTAATTTTTTTCCCAAACATATCCATGTACAGCAAGTATAACTGACCTGTCCAATATTATTTGAGATCATTCTTAGAAGGGATTGAGCAATATCTTCAGGTTTGCAATCTTCAACATCCTTATCATCAGAAATAACCTTCCCAAAACTAGAAGCTATGATAGTTGATGAAAGGCCTATCTGTTATCAATCAAAGGAAAATATGGTGCACTCAAGAACCATTAGAAAGCGTATTTTAGACTGCACAATGTCAACTTACCATAAATCTTTAAAATGGATACTCAGGTTGAGCTTAAACTTTCATTAATCTTACCTTTGAATAGTCCATTCCTCCATAAATATCTCCAACAAGCATATCTATTGCTCTGTTGTTCCCTCGGTAACTTAGTTCCAGCAAGTCATCAAAACTGAACCAGAAAGTGCATTACTGGCAGTCGAATCTTTATAGCAAAAAATAATGAATTAAGTCAGGAAAATCAACCTTTTGCACTTAGTTAAAAGCTTTCCCAAACCCCAGAAAGTACCTCCACCAATACTTGTTCCACTTACTCGCTCAAACTTGCCATCTCCATCCACCTATGGCAAAACAATGAAAGCTTAATTTTAAGAGCTTTTAACAAATGTCGCATACTTGGAATTGGAGCTGGGATTAATGAAACTTGCTTGATAATAACCTTATACATTCCAACTCCAGACCCAATATTAACTAGAAGATAGGGATACAGATCATTGTCGTCGATCTGCACAAATTGCTTTTGACCATCCATGCAGGTGAATGCTTCCTGGCGAACCACCTATAGAAAGAAAAACCAGAACAAAGATGAGATCTTCTATGGAGAAATTCTCATGGCGCACAAGAGGGAACTAGCCTTAATAGCAAATTGAAGGGACGGAGTAGAAACTAATTCCCTGCAAAACCAAAAGGAAAAAGAAAAAAGAAAAAAAATATTGTGGTCCTTAAAAACACTGATTCAGAAAGATATTTTGATGAAATACCAAGTGAAAAATCCAAGCAAGCCAACTATGTTTGTCAAATATGGGATCCCACGAGAGAAGAGAACTAAAAGCAAAACTTAGGATGGACCATCTAAGATATAAGATTTGTTCAAACAGCACTAAGGTTAGCAGGAACCGAGATCTGAGTTTGAGTGACAATGAACTGAGCACACTTAAAAAATTCTAGCTTCCATTTAGCAATGGAAGTTGTTTTAGTTTTGACCTCGTACCTTGAGCATTTTAAAACACACGGACACACACATCATTTGTAATCTCATGAAGGTTGAATTGTTTCCATACAAAGAGTTCATTCACATAATCCGCTTCGCAATATAAGAAACTCATATCCAAGCAAAATCAAAGACAATCATTTCTCAAAAGATAACCAATGACATTCCTAAGAGTCATAATATTAACCAAGATTCAAGCACTGCTGAGCCTGATTACATATTTTTTTAAAATAAGAAGTGGTACTATGTTCAAAAAACAATGAACCTCACCTAAGAGAGTTATTGAAATTGCAATTAAGTAGCATATACATGCTTTTGATTGACCACAAATATCTTGGACCTGAAGACTGAAAAGATATTTATGCATACAACTCAAACATGGGATTAGATTGTTGAAAGGTGTATTAACCAAATGTCTTAGATTACAGGTTCGACTTGCGACGTCGTACATATTATGTAATGTTGGGATTTCACAATTGGCCACACACACATATACTTTAGTCTTTGGGGACAAAAAGAACTCTTTTTGGACATGAAAAAATGATTTTGAATCATATAATAGGTTAAAGTTGATAACTAAAATTAAGAGGATGTTTGACTCCTTTTTTTTTTTTGCCAAGAGGATTTTGAATTATACTTTATACCAACCAGATATAAGAATTTGCATATGGTTCAAGGATCCCACCTTAAGCAGAAAATTTGCCCCTGCTACTAGACAATCCATTTCATCTTCCTTTTTAAGACTGATCCCAAGTCTCTCCTTGAAAAGATCAGCATATTTGTATGCACCACCACCTGTTGCCTTCTCAACAGTGGTTTTTCAATTTTGAGAAGTACGTAACATTAATTTCAGTTCCTTAGGAAATAACGTAAATATATGGACATTAAATGAAACAATTACATTTGAAACATCACTTTAGTGGAGAAACTACTGATTTTATTTAAATGTCAAATCACTTACCTGGAATGAATTATAATATTACACTGAAAAAGCCATGAACAAGAAGTAAGGATTAAGATTGTTTATCTAAACACGGAGTTCACAGCAGAGGCAAATTTGCGTTATTGAGTAGTTTTCAGATTATAGATCTTTCTCAAATCATATCTGCTAAATCAAATTGGGAACTAGTGATAACTCTTCATGATTATATTCCAATATTTCCTCTTGATTACCTTAATAGCTGTTATCTGCCTTTCAGGACCATCCTGCTGTTGCTTCCCTGAATTCATTATAAGTTAAAAATTGTTTGCCTCAGGTAGCGGAGAGATCCATGGTATTAAGAAAAAATAGCAGACATAAAAACATTCCAGGTGGACTTGAGTCTTAAATGCAAATGAATTTAATGTTTTTAGTCTTTGCTATTTGCTACAACAAGAGGATGGAAGTTCCAACTTAAGACTTCCAACAAAATACTCAAAGCCGTCGCCACTAACCCATTCGTGGTGGCTTGTCAAGAAACAAATAATGACAAATTTTCTAAGAATCATGTTAGTACAATCAGATGGAGATGAACAATCACAACATCTTCAACCAGAGAGATAGAGATGTACAGAAAAAAATATCAAAATTAGGGAAGAAAAGGAAATCAGATTTTGTTCAAGTTAGCGAGAGGAAATTAGAAATTCCATTCAGCCAAATTATGACACTGCAAATTTGAGATCAAACCAGCAGCCTTGTGAGGGGATTCTATTTAACCTATGATAGACCGCTTACCCAAGATCAGTATGATTTCATAACAAGTCAGAAAGATTCAAGGATCAAAGCATCCCCAAATTTTGCTTACATTGAGATAAAGACTATCAAGAGTTGCAAAAACATAAACACAGTCCTGCAACGGCACATACCTCCAGGATGAAACTTCATGGATTTGATAAACCCCAAACAATCATTTATCTTGCTTGTTTCAAACTTCTTAAAATTGAGCTTCCCTTTGAGAACAGGGCAGCTTCCACTAGCTTCGGATTCTGCCAATAATATTCAAAAGGTCAAGTAAGTTGATTGAAAAGCCCAAAGTCTAGTGTAAGGACATCAACCACTTCAGGAGATATATCCTACTCACCATCATCAGAATGATCATTATTCTTTGTTAAGTAAACTAGCTTGGTAAGAGAACCTGCCAACAAAGGCAACAATATTGTTTTGACAAGAAAGGTAAGCAGAAATTCTTTTCAGGAGTTTCAATATTTATACACACATCCACAACGAGCAAGTTAGAACAACAGTTGTGGCAACATCACCGCTAAATACATGGACATCATCTCTTCGAAGTGTCATTTTCATTTTGAAAGCCCGGAGATAATTAGGAGGATAAAAGTGAGGTTCAGGTTTTAAACGTTCATTATTATGTTTCTACTTCCCATCATCACGTGCTTTGATTAAACAAAACATTTGAAGCCAGGTGGGATCCCCATTTAATAGACTCGAGGAACTCAACACATTCAAACGATCAGCAAACTTGATTTCCGAGCAAAATAACAGCCTCCAAGAAACTTATATGAAATCCACCAGTCCAATAACATATTAAATGATTAAGATGCAAAAGGGCTCACTACACAACCATGCAAGGAAAACCAACCAGTAATTGTCTATATGCATCACGAGAGAAACTTCGAATCAAGCTTTTAATTTTCCAGGTAAGCGACTGTGGCCCAGAAAAACGTTGAAGTAGATACTCATAGAAGAACACAAATGAAGAAAACCAAAAAACATATGATACTCAACTCTGAGAAAGAAAGCAGCAGAACAGAGCTTAACGGGGCAAAGTTTGCGGCATAACAACAAAAAGGTAGGCAGTGCAAGAATTACCCCCAATATCCACAGCCAGATGATATATACACTCAGAATGATTTGGATCCACGTTTCTTCCGGCTTCAGCCTCTCTGGGATCCATAATTGCAGCTGCAATTATAATAGTGGATGTGCTATGCTTCAGTGTGCTGGTAACGGAGTTTTATAGTTCAACGGTTTTACTAAGAACTGCACCGAATCCCTCCCTCGTCACTAAAAAGTAAAAAATAAGAAGCTAGTTCGATAACTGATATATTATTCGCTTTCAAGATTCGTGTGGAAAGATAAGATTATGTGATGGAATTATTCAAGTTTTCTGGAGAACACTGGAACGACCCAAAGTTGCGAAGGAAGAATCAAGAAAGGAATGCACTTAGCTTATTTAATTATCTATTAGTATTAATGATCTCTTATCGTATATATTAAATCCAATCCCTGTTTTAAGGAAAACATGGGATGGGAGTAAGTTTGACTACATCGGTGCCTCGGTCAACGGCGCAAATGAAGCGGCGGCAAGAGAAGTGAAATAAGCAGCGTACTTTAAACTGTGTGCATGGAGTGTTACGTTCTCTTAAATAAAATTAAAATGTTTGTAAGCAAGTTGCATTTTATCAATTGTTTTGGGAAAAGGATTCTCAAGTTGATTGAGATTGAATTGTATTAACAAGAAAAGCTATCCCATGGAATCAATTCCTTCCGCCCTCAGCGAAGTTTGTTCCGTTTCCTTCGTTAGCTCTCATGCAACCATGTGCGCTTGTCCCCGAGTTTCTATCAATTTTGGGGACAAAATAGCCGTCCAATCATACTGCACGTCAAATCCCAGACCAGCGAGCATACTTGACTAGGATGAATTGGTGTATCGGAAGCAGAATAAAAAGTCGGCAAATTTAAGTATTTTTACAAATGGAATGCTCCGAATTATCATTTATCACATTGGGGTCCCTTAACCCGCCCCCATCAGGAAATAGAACTGCATCCAATGCGTACCAGAGCACAGCACCATTATTAGCCCCAGTGCTTCCATCCTGCAACCTGAAGGATTGAGGATGTTGTTCTAAACAAGTGAGTTTTATGGTCCTTTTGGCAATCCGGAGTAGCAACATACTCCAATGGAGTGAGTTTGTTGTTTGGATCGAAATAGACTGAGACAATAACAGAAGTGAGTACACAGCTGAAAACAAGTCCGTCGGCCTCAAGTGGCGTGTGAGAATGAAGAGACAATAGATTTCACTTTTCAGCCATGAGCGGGTGGGTGAATTGCGAGATTGGGAGGCGTGTATAAAATAAATTTTAGATTGAGATGGCGCAGCGAATTAGTTTCAAGTTACATACCTTGCATCCAAATCCAATGAAAATCTCAAGTACTACATATCACATAATCCACGAAATAAATTTCCACTACAATTTTAGCCTCCGAAATATCCTAAACCGCTGACAAAGAACACAAATCGAATTAGTCTCTCATGAGAGGACCCAAAAAAACTAGATAATATTCACCCCTGCATCCAGAATAGCCGTTCCAAAATGTAACTCCCAAACAACATTAAGCCTGAAATGAAAGAAAAATCAACGTATGAGCACATTGCATGGTGCATTTTCACCACCACCTAGAACGAACTTTACAATTTTTATGTCAATATCTACAAGAAAGAAGAGTCGGATCCAGTAGTTACCTTGTTGGCAATGTTGTTGGAGAGCCAATCCAGACCTTCGTAAAGGCCTTCCCCAGAGGTAGCACAGGTGCTCTGGATGTACCTGGAAGAACAAGGAGACCTTGTTAAACCATATCAGGATAGGCGGTATTTACACCAAACAAGGGGATCATGACTAGAATATATACCAGTGGCGCTGCCTGAGAGAGTGGAGACCCAGCTTATCAGTGATCTCAGCAGCATTCATTGCATTAGGAAGATCTTGTTTGTTGGCGAATACAAGCAATACTGCATCTCTCAATTCATCCTAAGATGATTAAGGGGGGAAAAACAAAAATGAAATTTAAACATTGTTATTTCACGGGTTATATAAAATAATGAAAAAGGATAGGAAGCTAACGATGAATAACAATATCCCTATTTACATTATGTGGTGCAAAGGAAACCAATCATTCCCAGAAGTTTCACAAGTAAAAAACATGTTATTCGCAGCATAGTCAGATACTCGAACTACGACAAGACATTGAAATAATGATGAAAATTTCAGATGGAAGCATGTCTTATCAGTAAAGCCAAGGAACAATTTCATCAGTTCATAACCAGGAACAAATTCAAACATGTCTTATTAGCGACCATCCATAAGGAATTATTTGGCATTAGCCAAAATAATTGTTAGACCTTTCTACTTTCATAATTCCCACGAACCAAAACTCCTTTGAGCCTCATATCAAAGATCACTTCTCAAATTTCAGAATATATACAAACTTCTCTAGAATACAAGTTACCTCACGCTTCAGTCCAGTCCAGTTTTAGACTCCCTCCATTTAGTAGGGAAGGGAATTTTAGCAAATAAATTTAAATTTGGTCCAAATGCAAGATTACTTTCTGTTTTAGGAAAAATCTGGGTATATTTTGGAAATAAAAGAAAATCCACACAATTTCTCAGCAGAACTTGAGGGAGACTTGCATAGTATACCCTAAATATGAATTTACTTCATAGACATCAAACCCAAATTAAGATTGAAGTACCTCATTCAACATCCTATGTAACTCATCTCTGGCCTCAACAACTCTATCTCTGTCATTGCTGTCTACAACAAATATAAGACCCTGTGTGTTCTGGAAGTAATGCCTCCACAGGGGACGAATCTGCAGAAGAAAACATATAATCAACCACTGACCTCCAATACAAATATCTCAGAGCAAGAATGATTTTGTAATATATATATATATATATATATAACACATATTAAGTTGATTTACAGCGAAGACAAATGGAATATACATTAAGCATCTAGAATCTAATAATACATAAGAATGCACAAAACGTCAAAATCAAAGTTAGCACCTTATCTTGGCCACCAACATCCCAAACAGTGAAGCTAATGTTTTTGTACTCCACAGTCTCCACATTGAACCCTGAAAAACAAGGCATTATGTCCTAAAGTCAGCCTTACTTAGCGGTAAAACAAAAACTTAACTACCAAAAATATTGACAAGCATAATAGCTCCATAAAATGTCAAGATCTGGCAATCTGTAATTCAGTTCAATTCAATAGTTAAAGTTAACACCTTGAAAAGTAAGGAATCAAGAGAATAACAGAAAACCCATGAAAGGAAGATCAAAGGGAAAAAGCCCTGCAGCCTCACTACCTCACTATGCAGCATTAACTACACTCTCCTCTCGACTTATTAAAACAAAAATGAAAAAAAAAACAAAAACAAAAGTTCCATTCTCTTTTAATATAAATCATAGAATTGAATAAGTTCTATATTCATTACATTCAGATAATGTCATAGTATTTCAAGTCAAATCATGCATTCTCACAATTTCATACCAAATAGAGAATCTATGCCTACATGAAGAGATATAAACCAAAGCTCTGTTCGTTTGTTCTTTTTACAGTGCTCTTCCCAATACGAACAACAGTATTTAATTACAAGGCCAAAACTCAGTCTCATCACAAACTAGTAATTCAACCTAGGAAATAGCATTCATGCGTGAAGAATCATGTTGGAATACTCATTCTTTAAATTCTACCAAATATGGAGGACAAAATATAGGTATAGAAATAAACTTAAGAAAAACGAGCATACCCTAAATTTAATGCAATGATGTAAATTTGCGTGTGAATAAATTGTTGAGTAATATTATAACCCATTGACATCATGTGCCCAATGGTTACAGCAAGCTCTCATATTAATCATCGACCATTAGGTCATATCTAAAATAACCAACATCATTTGGAGTCTCAGTATTCAATTTCAAATGAAGGATCCTTCATTCATATTAGCAAGTTGTAGCTCATCATGACGGATCATTTTACCTAAGCGCCTAGAAAAACTGTTACTATTAATCTGATATGACTTGCAGATGTATATAAAATGCTTAAAGATCGACGGTGAAAATTTAAAACCATATGTTCTGTTTTATTTTGGGCCAACCATAGAATTTGCAACATATGTTCTTGTTATTGAAATTATTAACCAATAGACATAACATAGAAACCAAATTCGAGGTCTTATTAGAAGACGAGTCCAGAAACTTACCGATAGTAGGGATTGTAGTGACAATCTCACCAAGCTTGAGCTTGTACAAAATAGTAGTCTTACCAGCAGCATCAAGACCAACCATCAGAATTCGCATTTCTTTCTTGGCAAAAAGCCGACTGAAAAGCTTAGTGAATGTCAACCCCATTTCTCCTTCAGCCTTTGGATCCCTACACATTCAAATTCCATTCAACTTTAACCGACCTTAATTTATTTTGGGAAAAAGAAAACTCCAACCAATAGCCAATGTTAAATGAAACAGATATCGCACAATAACTTATTGCATAGTCGAGAAATTTCCTCTAAAACTCATCAAACTAGCGGCGATCAGATAAAAATTGAGTTAGTGCCTTGGGATTTGGCCAGATCTCGAGCCAGAAGAAAAAGCGACTTCATGCAAATTGAATCGAATCAAACAATCGTTCTCATGACACCCAAGATAAAACGCACCAAAAAAGTAATAAAAGCAAATTTCTTAGATTTCCGATCCGATGCGACACAAAAACAGGAAAAACCGAAACGATCTGAAGAGCTCGACCCCAAAATGCTCAGATCAAGAGACATGAGAAACAATAAGATACAAAAACCCAAATCGAATCGCAATTCGAACAGTTATTCCATGATGATCTCCAAATTTCCACAGAAAATAAATTAACAAAACGCTAAAAGCTCTGATATAATTTGAAATCCGAAGGGAACAGGAATTAAAACCAATATAGAACATATTTCATGAACGCATCGGAAATAACCGATGAAACAACGATCTCAACTTAGGATTCACCTCTGAAGAAAAAGCTTGAGAGAGATCTTGCAACAAAAACCAGAGAGGGATACGAGAGAGGAGAAGGAAGCTTCAGACCAACGCGAAATGAAAGGCAAGAAGCGTTAACAGGAGCGATTTTATAACAAGGACGCAGGGGGTACCTCAATTGTTTACCGCCTTTTGCTTAGAATAACGAAAACACCCTCCTGCGGGATTATTCACTGTGTGACCCCGTTTGGAAGCTTCTAAAACACCAACTGTTTTAAATTTTAAATTTCTAAGAAGTTAAAGTGTATCTAATACTCTAAAATATTTTTTTAAATACATCTAACACTTTAAAATATTTTTTAATACATTAAATATCTTAATTTATTTTTTAAAATATTTTAAAGTATTTTTTAAATATATCCAACACTCTAAATTTGTCTTAATACTGAATGTATAAAAAATATTTTTAGATAGGAAACATATCTAAAAAAAATTTTAAGACATTAAATGTACAAAAAAAATATTTTAAGATATTAAACAAATTTGAAAAAAAAATTAAAAATTAAATATATCATAAAATATTTTAAAATATTGGATATCTTTAAAAAAATATTTTAAAAATATTGGACTACCCTCTTGTTTTTTTTTTTTAATGCTAGGACATTAGAATCCGCCCGGGTGGCCTTCTAATACCGAACGGTGAACCAATCCGCCGGTGGGATCAATAGCTAAGCGGTCGATCTGTTAAACTTACATTCTTTTTATTGTTAAACTTAAAATAATAAAATTACACTGACATGGTTTTAAGTTAAAAAAATAGTGTCAAATTTATTCTTTAATAATTATATTTTATTAGAGTATATGGAGTTTATAAATGAGTGTTATATTTACTAGAGTATTAATACAGTTTTAATTTAAATATTAGCTTTTTAGGCTTATATATAAATGTTTTTATATATTTTTAAGAGCAAGCACAATATTTTTATATATTTTAATTACATGATATTATCTTGTTAAAATATTTGTTTGTTTATCTAAGTTTATATATTTTAAATTTAAGTTCAATGACCTAGCATTTTTTGTTAATAAGATCAACGTTATTAAGATTAAGAGATCGAAAATATATTTTATAAATTGAAGTAACTAAATTAGAATTTATTATAAACTTAGAGAACCAAGATATGCTCTTACAGTATTATTTTAATCTAATTGATCCTAACTCAACTGTAGACAAACTGATCTAGATTTTGGACTCATTTAAAGACCTTGCTGGGACAAATGATCAAGCGTCTGACAATGTTTCAAATATTTTTACTTCCTATAAAAAGATATATATTCTTTAAAAAAAAAAAAAGGCCTTGCTAAATATATACAATTATCATTATTTTATTAGTTTTTATCAAATTATAATTTTCATTCCTTCATTTTATTGATAGGCTAAAAAACTTTATAAAATATTTTTATAAAATAAATTAAAAACATTTTTAAATTTATAATGTTATATAAAGTATTTTGTTACTCATATTTCTACATCTTTAATAAATGAAAACTCATGTAGATGTTAATTCATGATTTTGATGATTCATCAAATGATATTTTCTCACAGAATAACATTTTAACACATTTTTCCAAAAACAACGTTTTTCTCGTCTTCATTTATAAGCATTCGACTCGAAGTTGACATATATGTCATTTATAAGGAAAAAAATTCATTCAACAATTTTAAATTACGAGTCGTTCGTATAAGTTCTTATTTATTAATTGAAAGATTAAAATTAATTATCATTTTAGTTATAATGAAAAATGAATAATTTTATTTTTGAAAATCATATTTAAAGCAATCTCTTAAAAATTAGGGAATATTGATACTTTTGTCCTCATACTTGATATTGATTTTTAAATGGATGCTTTTCAATTGACCATTTTCAAAGTTAGCATGGTTCATTCATCTCTTTTATTTTACTCTAATTTTATTATATTAAAAATAAGATACGTTTTACTTTTGTCATAACTAGCGCTTCCATTAAAAATTAAATACGACTAATCTTTGAGCTTAACATAATCAAGATGCACCTCACAGTTTAAAGAGCACTTGTGAAAATACTCACATGTTACTTATTAATACTACTTCTAGTATTTAATATAAGAGCTAATTGACTAATCTGAATAAATTAAAAAAACTAGTTAAGTTAGTTATTTGTAATAAATATGTATTATCTTTCCTAAAATATTTTTGCTAATTAAATTTATTGGTTAGAACTACCATTATTAAAAGAATCATATTAGAAAAAAATAGATAAATATGAGAAATAAAGTATATTAGAATTTTATATTTAGAACCAAAATAAAAATTAAATGAATTTTCATGTTAAGAATCATACGTTTATGTTTATATTTAATGCTCAATGATATTTCAAAAAGGATGGCTTTTTATATGACCGCCCCGTTAAATCAAATTCGAACATTATTGGGCTTAACGCCTCTTAGAAACATTTTTTGTCTTCATGCAGTTTCAACCTTGAGACATATCAGGTCCAAAAAAAAAAAAAAACTTGAGACTTGATGCTTAAGGGGATGTTTGGATAGAAACCAAACCATGGTTTCAGAAGTGCTTTTACAGTTTACAAAGTAAATATGTAGAGGAGTTTGTCTCGTTTTGCAGAAAAGTGCTTCTGAAACCATGCTTTTCATATTGCCAAACACCCTACACCGTTAAAACTTCTTTCATTTAAACCAACACTTATTAGTGGTTATAATCAATTTCTCTCATTGCTATAACTATCAAAATCATCATAATTCAGCTCTCAGTTGATTAATATCTTTCTAGGCATGCTTTTGCCTTTGGCTAGCTATACGTTGTTACAAGTCTCGCATCCAAAGTAGAATAAGGATTGGAGATTTCAATTATGTACTGCCTCCAATCTTTAATATAAGATCTTGTTTGATTTTTTATTTTGATCCTAAATATAAGACTTTAATATATTTTGTCTCTCATATTTATATATTTTTTTCTCAAAGTAGTCTTTCTAACAATAATAATTCTAATTAATATACTTGATTAGCAAGGATATTTTGGGAAATATACATCTATTTATTATAAATAACTAACTTAACTTCTTTCATTAATCTTCTCAAATTAGTCAACTAAGTACTATAATTAGGACCGGAGGTAGTACTCCTTTAATTCATTTTACCTCTTATTTTTTTTAAAAAATATCTCTATCAATTCCAAAAAGTTCTCATATCGGGATAATTTAAATAATAGACAGATTAACACATATTTATAACAAATAACTAATTTAACTAATTTTCTTAATATCCTCAAACTATTTATCTAACTCTTATATATATATATTACTTTCAATTCTTAATATAAAAGCTAGTTTAACATTTCATTTGACTCTAAATATACAACCTCTAATTCACTTGGTCTCTCATATTTATATATTTTTTTCAAAGTAACTCTTATAATAGTTACACATGTTAAATGTTCTATCAAATGATAGTTCTAAGTAATACACATGATTAGCAAGGATATTACAAGGAAGATAACACCTATTTATCACAAATAACTAATTTAACAAATTTTTTTAATTTACTCAAATTAGTTAACCAACTCTTATATTAAAGATAGGAGATAATATTAATTATCCAAGGTAGCATTATGATGAAAAAATTTAATCAACAAACAACACTACAAATATAGTATGTTTGCTCTCCTAACAATTAATGTGCTACTTCGGATGTTGAATATAAGACGTAGATAAAGAGTTAACTTTCATCCTAAATATTATTTGTTTTATTAACTTTGGTCCCAAATATTATATTATATTTTTTCAATTTACTTTACCTTTCAAATTTATAACTTTTTACCTAAAATATCTATATTGATTGCACATATCAAGAGGCCTCCTAATCAAAAAATAGTTTTAATACACAAGATCAAAGAAAATAATTTAAAAAAATCAAAACTCATTTATTAGTAATAACTAACTTAACTAATGTTTTTAATATTTTTATTATATTAATACTCTTAAAAATTAAAATACTATTTGCTATGTATGCATGCCACTACGTGTATACGTTGTACGTATCGTTACCAGATCCTAACCTGTTGATAGGTTAATAAGGGTGTGTTTGGAATCACATCTGAACCTTCAAACTGACTTCTCTACTGGCAAAAGGCGCTTTTTTATTTGGGATGTGTTTGGAATCACATTTTTGCAATCTGACTTCTATCACTGAAATGGACTTATACAAGAAGCTCAAAAAAGCTGCTTTTATCCAATCTGACTTCTGTAAAAGTTAGATTGAAAAAAAAAATTACTTCTCTACAGCTAATCTAAACACACCCTAAGCCGGCAAAGACCAAGACAAAAATGCTAGAGGAATCAACGAGCCACCTTAATGCTGTTTCCACAATCTCCGCAAAATTTGTAGTTTCCGAGGCTAATGCCAATCAGAAATGCATGTAAGTAACTCTGAAAATTCACCAATTAAACTTTGAAAAATCTAGACTCCACCCGACTTCTTTGTATATGCTTCCTCTTCAGTATAAAAACTAACTAAATATTAAATTTGATTTTAAATATAATATATTAATCTACTTTCCTTTTAACGTTTATTCATTTCTTTTAAAATAGTCTATGTGATTATTACGCATATTCTAATATATATGATTACCAATAGTATTTCATAAAAATAATAATTATTTATTATAAATAACTAACTTAACTAATTTTATTAATATTTATAAATTAGATATCTATCTTTTTATATTAAGTACCGAAATTAATATATACAAGTTGTCAATTGTCATAACCTCTTTAACTTTCTGGGTGCTATAAATTCTCTCAAATTATTGAAAGAGATATTTAACTTGTGTCCTTCTGGATTTTCGTCTTAATTATTTCCCTTCTAATTGTCCTTCCATTTTTCTTCTTTGAATCACGAATTTTCATTTCATATTTTGAATGTAATGTTTAGATTTTATGCATATTTGTACTGATGCGATCAACATGAGAGATGACAATGGAAGTCTTATTTTTAATTAGCAAGGTTGCTTGTCTTTTTACCCTTTTATGCATTTAAAGAAATAGTTTTTATTCATATCTTTTTAAAATCATACTAAGCAAATTGATGGTAAGTAACAGTACATTGCACTGCATCACATTTCATTCCATTATACAGAAGCATGCAATCGAACCAAAAGGGTATTAAATATTATTCAACCAAAACTATTAGGAAATGTTTTTCCATTGAAAACGTTATTGATAAAAAGAAATTTATGAATTTTTGTACATAAAAAAATTTTATACACAGAATATCGATACTTTAATTTATGTTTTTCTCACCAATAAAATTTTTAATAAGAAGTTTTTTTTCTAATTTTTTTAAAAATTATCCTCACCTACCCAATAGAAGTTACAACAGATCTGCTGATGAAGATCTCCCATGGAAACAAGCACGATGGTTAATGGCCGCACAAGTGGCAATGAATGCCCATTCTTTTTTTTTTTTTTAATGCAAAAAGACGAGTCTCATTTTACACAGTGCCCAGCTAAGTAGGCTTATCCCAGTCGTTTCTTAGAATGACATTTAAATCGTCCGGTGGCATACCAACAAAATAAAAACCCGGAGCAGCATCTAACGCTGATTTAGCAAGGTAGTCTGCTGCTTTGTTAGCTTGTCGTGGGATGTAAAACAGTTGGACATTCCATGACAGCTTCAAAAGCTTCTGTGCTTCAGTAATGATATCTCTGTTAACATGTGTAAAAGGATTATTCCCACGCAACATCGCAACCACATCTGAAGAATCAGACTCAATCATCAACTGGCGGATACCTAAGCTCCAAGCTACCTTTAGACCCGAAAGGCAAGCCCAGAATTCAGCGTCAACATGAGCCCCCATCTCCAAACGATGCCTAAATCCATGAACAAAATTGCCATCGGTGTCTTTGATTAATCCACCACAGCTAACTCTGTCATGGTGTTTCGCGAAAGCCCCATCCACGTTAAGCTTGAACCAACCTTCCGGCAGTGGAGTCCATCCCTCGAAACGATCAGAAGAAATCGTCCCCTCCCAATTTATATTTCCAGTCTGCCGAGAAAGTATCTTCATGTTACCAAGCACCACTTTAGCTCATGCCACTAAGGAAGAGTTCGTTGAGTCTCTGCCCTCGAAAATACGTTTGTTCCTTCTCTTCCAAAGCAGCCAACAAATAACACTAAAACCCGCATGCTAGTCATCAAAACCAGTGCTTGGATGCGCCTTGAAATTCCAAGTGAGCCACTCCCACAAATCCAGTGAGAAAAATTTATGAATATGTTCCGGGTCCACTAATGTTCGCCATACAGCAAAAGTATCAGGGCAATCCCGGAGAGTATGCAAAATAGATTCAAGTTCTAAATGGCACCATGTGCAGTCCTCATTTTCACAAAACCCTCGACGTCTTCTTTCCTTATTTGTAAGAAGTCGATTATTCCCCACCAACCACATGAACGACTTAACACGTTGTGGAGTAGGAAGTTTCCAAACCTTAGTCTCGTATGGAGTATTAACTGTGGAATTAACTCCTTGTAAACACTCATAAGCTGATTTTACTGAGAAATCACCATTCTTGGTCCACTTCCACCTGTATCTTTGAATGGTATTGTCCCATTGAATCCCATTATTAACTTTCTCCCAACACTTAGTAATACCTGACCAAAGATTAGAGCTAGGTCTTTTAGAATCAATTTTTGGCAACATGTCCTGACCACACTTATATTTATCTCTGATAACTTTTGCCCAGAGCTCATCTTTTCTCTGACAAAGGTTCCATCCAACCTTCATTAATAAGGCATTGTTATGAGCTCGGCGTGTCGAAGTCTGAGCCCACCATCATGCTTGGATTTACACACATTATCCCAACTAATCAAGTGGACCTTCCTTTGATCAGTACTAGAGCCCCACACAAAATTCCTGTTACACCGATCTAACTCGTTCGTAATAGGAGCCGGAAGAGAAGTCGTTTGCATGGTATATGTGGGAATCGCTAAGGTAACTGCCGAAACAAGGGTAGTACATCCAGCCAGTGAGAGAGCGTTGGTCTTCCAATTCTTGACTTTATCAATAACCCGTTGGTAAGTGTCCTTCGTAACACGTTGGCGATGAAGAGGGACCCCAGGTATTTACCCAAGTCCGCCGTCATTGTAAATTCCAGAAATTCACTCAGCTCTCTTCGTCTATTATGATTCACATTATTAGAGAAGAAAATTCTGGTCTTCTGAGTATTCACTTTCAAGCCTGAGCTTTCACAAAAGGAATCAAGGCATTATTTAATTGTTTCAGCTTGCCTAAGTGAGGCTTCTGAAAAAAGAATGATGTCATCCGCAAAAAACAAATGTGAAACGGGTGGCCCTGTTTTTGTCAATCTAATCGGCTTCCAAGCCCCTCCATTCATCCGAGATTGAATTTTAAGTGAGATAATTTCCCCATGCAAATGACAAATAAGTAAGGAGATAAAGGATCTCCCTACCTTACTCCCCAAGAAGAGAGAAACTGGCTTGCTTTATCACCATTCCAAAGTAACTGGAGAGATGCTGAAGACACTTATAAATCAATAATTTGTCTCAAGCAAAGTGGCATATTCAGTTCTTAAAGACAATTGCTCAAGAAGTTCCAATTAACACGGTCATAGGTTTTCTCAAAATCAATTTTAATCGCCATATAGCTTTTCTTTCCAGACATGGTTCTCATCGAATGTATCACTTCTTGGGTGACGATGATATCATTAGAGCTAAGTCTCTACATGGCCATTCTTTTTATTGGGTCCTAAAGGAAGAGAATTTTAATTAGATGAGTGCTCCCATGTCCCTTTGACTTCTATCTTATTGGGCCCTCAAGATATTGTTTGGTGGAATATTGGGCTTCACTCAAGCGCGTGTAGTTATAGTAAATTCATTTTCTTAGTGTGAAGAGTCCTAAAAACAAGATTTTTCATGCAATAAATAGAATTTGGAAAATATATTATACTTTTTTCCAAATATAAAAATTAGTTGGTTTGGATGACAAAAAAAAACATAAAAAATGAATCATTCGGGGATTTCTTTTGGTTTCTTGAAAATTAATCCTTTTGTTTTTACAATTTTGACTCGACAATTTTGTCTTTATAGTTTTAATTCGGTTGTAATTTAATATCTAAATTTTGACTCGATACAACTCAACTTCTATAATTTAATCATTCAGAATATTAGTATCTATATTTTTTTAAAAAAATTATATATTTCATAAAGTTTAAGGACTAGCGTTTTAAATGATTAAAATTATGAGGAATGGGTATGTTAAATTTTAGGCACCAACTTTCAACTGAGTTAAAATTGTAAGAATTGAGTTGTAATGAGTTAAAGCCTAAGAATCAGGTTTCTACTGAGTCAAAACTACAGAGATCAAAAAGTTAAATTTTCCTCTCGTTTTATATGTAAGACTCCATTTTTATTTCATTTCTCATATTTATTATTTTTTCCCATACATTGTTAGATTCCTATATCATGTGTAACAGTATAAGTTCAAATATTTCAATGTAAATGGTCAAAAAGAAGGTATTTCAGAAAATTGGCATGCATTTTTAAAGCATATTTATTTTTCTTAATCTGTATAAATTAGTTAATTAGTTTCTACATTAGGAGACATAATAGACTATAATGATTTGCGAATAATACAAATTATTTTATTTTTATTATATATAGATATTTGAAAGCAAGAGTTATAATAAATACTGTCTGCACATAACTCATTCTGATGTTGTAGGTCATATGTGTTAACTTTATTTGATATCTGACTAAATTTAGCGTCTTCCTCTGTTTCTTTTTCCTGCCAAGGAAATTTGGTGTCTCTTTACGTGTAAACAAATCAGGAATTTCATACTTACACGTGTTTCTTATATAGATGAAGAAATTTGGTGCCATGTTTATTTCTTTTCTGCCTTTTGATTTGAATCCCACAGATCTGAATCTGTATAGATGAAGATATTTTTATTAAATAAAACAAATGGAAGAACTAGTATAAAATCTCACTATACAAGGCAAGAACTCACTACCCTTGGCCTCCAACTATAGGGAGGGCCAGTATACTGATGACAATAAATCAAGGTGAGATTCTAACAAAGAAAAATTCCATCTTCTATATATATAATTATATATATAGTATACATATTCTTTATATCTAACTGGCTAACGCTGTGAGGTGGTGGCTAAGATTAACACAAATCATGATCAGTCTGAGCATGATTTTGGGTTGGCTTGCCAAACTGAAGACAATCAATAGGTGGGACAGTGGGAGTTTTCAGTTCACCATAGGCCTCCCAGCAAAAGGGATTATAAAGACGGTATTGTTCTTGATGAGGTTGTAGTTCAATGGTGGTAAAGGAAACATCTACACATGGTAGACTATCACTACAAGCCAAGTGTACTGGTTTAACTGTGTATGTCCCTCTTATTCTTTCATAGTTGATTCCTGCAAGAGCCACTGCTGATGATTGGTTTGAGCATGTTCTCTTGTCACAGTAGAACTGATCAATCACTATTGGAAGTTGCACTTCTGATACTTGGATGTTTGAGAAAAACACCCCTTGTACTGATCCTGATCCACCCTGTAATGAAGTTTTATGATTTATAAGACACAAAGTTTGTTCATCAAACTAAGTACTCCTTCTGCTCTTAAATATAAGTCACTTCTAACTAATTCACACGTATCAATAAGAACAGTTAAAAGCATTAAGTTTGTCATAAAATTCAAATGATTTCCAATATCACTCTTATTAACTATGCTGAACTTTGAAGTCATATTAATTTCTACTCTCTCTCTCTCTGCCCTTATTGAATATGGGCACATATAGAAAAAAATGTTTGAGGACCAGAGGGAGTACTTGGATAGAATGACAAGGCCAAGAAAACTCAAATGATCAGTTGCTCATGTTTGATTTACCTGCCATGTTTTGATTCTGACACCAGTCATCGTGTTGTGAATGTTGATGTCTCTGACAGTAATGTTTGAGACACAGGCTCTGGTGTTATCCTTTCCTAGACCTCCAATGCTGATTCCATGCCCTGGCCCACAGTTTATATTGTGTACAAATACATTTGAGCACCCAGTTTGTATGGAGATACAATCATCCCCTGCACAACAGTTAACATGTAGGGCTTAGCTTCACTTGTGGCACACTGGAAACTATTCATATATTTAGTCTCCCATTTTAGTTTTACAATATATGTTCGACCTTTAAGTTCTAATGTGAATTTAAGTACTGTTTAAGAATTTTCCTTTGCTTTGTGCCCATCATGTGCTTTTCTAAGTAGGGCCTCAATTAAAGAGAGGACAAAGAGGAATGAGAAGCAGAAGTTCTAATAAATACAAAGAAGATAACAGAAGATATGCAGAAAAAGACAAGACCAAAAGAAACATTGGATGATGCAGTGAGGGGATTTGGACTTGACACGTGTCATATACTTGATGGCTATAAGTCTTTGAAGCACTGGAACATTATTACCATCGATAGGATAGGATAAGATAATGTCAAGCAGTTTCATGGATCATACAATACAATATGCAAAAACTGCTTTCATGAATCAGCTTTTGTTTATCTGTGTTCACTATTCATTTGGGATTTTCAGTAACATGTGCTTAAGCCTACGAACATTCATTCTTAATGTGTCACTAAAATTACCACAAGCTAAGCTGCTGGTGTGAATCAGAACATCCTTGGAGTTCTGAAGGTGAATTCCATCTGTATTTGGGCTGTCTCCAGGAGATGATACAGTCAAATCATGGACCAAAACTCCATTGCAGTTATCAAACTTGAGGTGGCACTGTTGGCTATTCTGAATTGTTATTCCTGTAACTGTTGGATTAATACTCCCATAGAACCGGAGAGCCTGAGAAAAAGAGACAAACATCATGTTAGAGAACAACCCCCATAGAATTCAGCCGTCTTTTGAAGGGTTAAAGGTTGTCCTCACAGTTGGTTTCATGCTTGGCATTTTCCCACCCATCTCACTCTGAATCTGTTACAATTGCAGAAGTATAAACAATTAGAATCAGTTGTAGGAAGAAGGTTGGGAAGTGAAGATGAAGAAGGATAAATAGTTACCGGCATTGGTGGGCTCACTGTTGTGTGGTTTAAAGGGACTATGAGCTTTTCTTCATTATCTATAGGATCATCAAATGGTTGGTCCTGCCACCAAACTGAACCTTTTCCATCAATGATTCCCTTTCCTTGAATTGTGATTCCCACAAGTTTTGAGAAGTCTAGCCACTGGAACAATCCTCTTCCCCAGGCCTGTGGGTCTGTTGGGGCAATAATTGTGCCATCAAGCTGTCAAAATATCACCTCATTAGTCTCACAACTGAAGAAGGATTAACATTGCAAAAAATTACTTTTATAGAGTTATCTAAATCTTGACGAGCCTATAATTCTTCTACCATAGAGTTACTGTATAATAGTAAATTATCATGATGGGTGAGGCAAGCTTTTCTGACCACAATACTGTAACTGCTTCTGATATGTGATCTTTCTGCATTGGTGTGTGAATGATATCGAGTTTGTGAAGATTGAGATTCACATTACTGCTATCTTGTTCTGAGGTTGCACGTTACCTGGAAAACTATCTTGGGTTTGCAGTATGGACCAGAAAATGAAATGGGTCCCACTTTGAAAATGTAATTAGCTGGGACCAGCATGGTTGACGCCTCCACCTTACAAGCGGCTGCCCATGTGTCTTGGAATGCCTGCATTACACCAGGGTTAATTAAAAAAAACTTAACTTTGAGTATTAACTAAAATAATGAGGTAAAAAGACAAAAGCTACTTACTTTAAAACCGTAAACTGTATTTACAGTTAAGAGTAACAGGGATAAGCGTTAGGTGGTACGTATGTGTGTTATTTATAGTTGCTGTGGGAACCAGGATGCAAACGTCTTAACGAGAATCCTTTTTCCAAGTGGGCCCTATCTCCTTAAATTGTTCTTGTGTCTTTACCTTTAGGGATTTCACAATCATGAGCTCTCACCTGTAATGAACTCTGCTCGGAGTAACCTTTCTTTAATGGCAATTATTAATTTCATGGTGACATGGATGGGAGAAAACGACAGAAAACAGAACATTGATGGAAACCTTATGCCACAATGGCATATTGGCTCATTATTCTGTCTCTGCCAGAAAAGATTCTAGTCTTGTGATTTTGAACGCCCTCCCTCTCAAAACAAAAAAAAGATGAATGCTTTCTGGGTCAAAGAACATGGGTGCAATTATCAAAACCTAAAATTTTCCCAACTTCTAAATTTTCTCATCCAATTCTGGTTCCTGTGTCAGTTTCATGTTCTTAACAATTCGGAAGCTCATTCTGCTGAATTCTGATGCTAAAAGATATTCTGTAACAGCTTAAGAAGCTGACAAACATTAGAACAAAACCAAATATGAGGTGTTGTTCATGTTGCATCATCTCTGATATGATTGAAGTATCATTGGTTCATAGGTAATAATATCATGAAAAAAATGCAAACCTTTTCGTCCCAATTCACATACCTAGTAAATTCCCAAGAGTTATCAGAATGAACAGAAACAGAACCATGTTTGAAAGCAAAAGATTCATTGATTTACCTTTGTATCATCTGAACTTCCATCACCCTTAGCTGCAAAGTCAAGGACATTAAATATAGTAGATGAACCGCCGCCACCATTGTAAGATTTTGGAGGAGTTGGATTTGATGGCAATGGTGATGGTGATGAAGGCTTTGGTTTTGGTTTTGATCCTCCTCCATTATGGTAATTGTGATTATTACCTCCATGACCCTTCCCTTTCTTGTACAAAGAAGCAGAGAATCCTCTGTTTTGCCTCCAATGCTTGCCTCTTCTTGCAATGCAAGCCTCAAAGTTGAAAGACCAGATAAGGAAACCAGTGAATATCATCAGTGTGAAACTCCTGAAAGTAAACCCACCCATTTTCTTGTTTCTATATGGGGAAATGTAATATGAGAGAAACAGAGAAAGAGAGAGGGAGAAAGGCAGAGAGAAACAGAGAGCTTCTTTGTATTGCCAAAAAACAAGACAGTTATGTTTATATAAGGAGCGCATTTGATTGCATACTATAACTGTGCAGGCGTACATGTAAAAATATTCCCAATAATACCGGGCATTTAATTCATCATTCATTCTCCATTTTTTTAACCTTCCAAAACTGAAACTGTATAAAAAATTTTATATTATTGTCTGACACAAACAACAATAATATCAAATATGACACAACCCTTTCAGCTAACAGTACTCAGCTTGTTTTTCTTTTGTGAATTTTGGTTAGGATTGGTTCATGGAGCAGTAGAAGTTAAAGATTATTGGCCTTGCCACACGTCAAGAAGAAAGCAACACGACATGTGAGTAATCCAACTAGTTGTGAGGTTATTATCATTTTTCACTCAACTATCCACACATGCCCTGCATTATTATACTCATATTACACTATTGAATGTCAGCAGAAGTCCAAATCTACCTGTTGTCCTGTCCTAAGTTCAATCAAAATCAAGAAATTACCGGTAGTTTTAAAGGTTAAATTGTATCCAACACTTTAAAGTATTTTTCTAGTAGCATTCAAAATCCTTAAACTAATTTTTGGTGTAATCAACACTTTAAAGTATTTTTCCAATAGCAACAAGTTTCCTGAGACTTATATTTAGCGTACTGGTTTATTTTAGGATATAGTAATTTTGTACTGATTTGATCATGGGGTTCAAGTAGGGGACTGGGAGCATAAAATAATGGGGGGTTTTTGCAGAAATCATGCAGAGTTAAGCAAGAGATTTGGATGGAGAAGCCAGAAATGAGACACGTGAGTGGGTCAAGAATTGTGATTATAACAGCTCTTGATCATCACATGCAAGCTTCACGGGTCAAGCGACTTTTTTGTGAACTTTGTCTTGTTAAGCCACCCTCTCATATGTATGGCTTCAATTTGCCCCTCTAATTTCGCTTTTCTTGATCCTCCTCCATTATGGTAATTGTGATTATTACCTCCATGACCCTTCCCTTTCTTGTACAAAGAAGCAGAGAATCCTCTGTTTTGCCTCCAATGCTTGCCTCTTCTTGCAATGCAAGCCTCAAAGTTGAAAGACCAGATAAGGAAACCAGTGAATATCATCAGTGTGAAACTCCTGAAAGTAAACCCACCCATTTTCTTGTTTCTATATGGGGAAATGTAATATGAGAGAAACAGAGAAAGAGAGAGGGAGAAAGGCAGAGAGAACAGAGAGCTTCTTTGTATTGCCAAAAAACAAGACAGTTATGTTTATATAAGGAGCGCATTTGATTGCATACTATAACTGTGCAGGCGTACATGTAAAAATATTCCCAATATACCGGGCATTTAATTCATCATTCATTCTCCATTTTTTTAACCTTCCAAACTGAAACTGTATAAAAAATTTTATATTATTGTCTGACACAAACAACAATAATATCAATATGACACAACCCTTTCAGCTAACAGTACTCAGCTGTTTTTTTCCTTTTTGTGAATTTTGGTTAGGATTGGTTCATGGAGCAGTAGAAGTTAAAGATTATTGGCCTTGCCACACGTCAAGAAGAAGCAACACGACATGTGAGTAATCCAACTAGTTGTGAGGTTATTATCATTTTCACTCAACTATCCACACATGCCCTGCATTATTATACTCATATTACACTATTGAATGTCAGCAGAAGTCCAAATCTACCCTGTTGTCCTGTCCTAAGTTTCAATCAAAATCAAGAAATTACCGGTAGTTTTAAAGGTTAAATTGTATCCAACACTTTAAAGTATTTTCTAGTAGCATTCAAAATCCTTAAACTAATTTTTGGTGTAATCAACACTTTAAAGTATTTTTCCAATAGCAACAAGTTTCCTGAGACTTATATTTAGCGTACTGGTTTATTTTAGGATATAGTAATTTTTGTACTGATTTGATCATGGGGTTCAAGTAGGGGACTGGGAGCATAAAATAATGGGGGGTTTTTGCAGAAATCATGCAGAGTTAAGCAAGAGATTTGGATGGAGAAGCCAGAAATGAGACACGTGAGTGGGTCAAGAATTGTGATTATAACAGCTCTTGATCATCACATGCAAGCTTCACGGGTCAAGCGACTTTTTTGTGAACTTTGTCTTGTTAAGCCACCCCTCTCATATGTATGGCTTCAATTTGCCCCCTCTAATTTTCGCTTTTCTTGTCCCTCTTTCTTCCCCCCCCCCCCCTCTTATTGGACCAAAAGTGAAGTATTGCTTGTGATCCCCAATCCATTTTTATCCCAAGAACAAAGCGGGGGCATACTTTAATTCTGAGTATAAAACAGAGAAAAAGTGGAATAAGAATGAGAAGAATCTAAATGCTTCTTTAGTTAATAGAGAAGGATTTGAGAGAAAGCCTCCTTTTAGTTTCAGCCACAGATTTTGCAGTGTTGTTTTGTGCCTATGCTGGACAAAGCTATATTTTTGTTGTGCAATGAATAAAAACAAAAGTAGTATAACTGACGGTGGTGTGAATGGATAAAAACAAGAATAGTATAATTAACTATGGTTGGGTTTGTTACAAACCCGGTATTCTTTAAGCAGCATCCTAAGTTTGAATCTTAAAAATGTAAATGTGTGTGTGTGTGGGGGGGGGGGGGGGGTTGTTTGGTTACTCACTTGAAGATCAGTGTAATTGAATAATATCACCTGATTTTGGCTGGTCATCCATGTTAACCATTTTTAAACTTTTGAATAAATCAAAAATAAGATTAAAAAGACCAAAATACCCTTCAATGGACGGCAAAGTATGTTGCCAGCTACTAGCAAATAGATGAAGGCACGCGGAGAAAGGGCATTTCAGGTTTTTTCTCCTGGCATAATTACATTAATGTAATTATCTTTCATCTCAAATTTGGATGGAAAAAAGCAAGATTTGATATTATCATCATTTACAATATAAAACTAATTACCATATAAAAACATCACTAGAAGCGTTTCATGTGAAAAGATATAATATTTGAAATATATTATTTCCCAAGGGAACAAACCAAATAAGCATTAGGATTGAGAGGGGGAAAAGGCACAATCCTTTTATTAGTAAGAACAACTATAAGGTCTTTAAAAAAAATAATGTAATTAAAAAAAAATCTTATAATAAATAAGCAGCATGCAATAATATGTTTTAATATAAGAAATGATAAGATTAGATCCATGTTACTTACTTGTTATCACGATTTTTTAATAATTACATTTCTTCCTTTTAAGACCTCATAATGATTTTTCTAATTTTTTATAGCACAAAATTTACTGTGTATGAGATGTAAGTGAAGTGATGAGAGGCCAACATCACAATGATGAAAATTTAAGTTCCGGCCTGAGATTAAATGAATGATTAGGGTAATGATTTTGAAATAATCATTGCCCTCTAATATCATGGTACTCTACAAAACATAATCCTCATCAGTAAATCAAGCTATCAAGAAAGCTAGATTAATGATTTATGACTAAGTCTTCTGTTGTTTTATTGGCTGACACAATTTCCCATGCACAACTTGTTTATAACACCACCTTGAAATTATTTATTGAATCCCCATCTTTATCTTTCTCTCCTCATGCTAATAGATCCAAATTTGATTGTGACATATCTTTGAACTTGATTAGGATACTTTTAACTATTTTATGCATATTAAAAAATTTATTTTACCTTAATCTTATAGAAAAATGACATATGTTTCATTTTTTCTGTTAACCATAAACATTGTTTAATACTGCATTAACTTCATATACTGTATTATTTAACTATATTAATCAAGATCAAGAGAGAGGTAGACTTGAAAAAATTGTTAAACCTACATGTTTCTCAATTTTGGATAAAAAAATAACTTCTAGATTATGTTCTACATTTAGGATAGAAAGAAATACTCCATCCCATCATCTTTATTATAAGGCACCCCCAACCGCTTCATTGAAACCAAAGAAAAATCATTGAGTCATTAATTTTATCTGGAAATAATTAAAATAAATATTTGATTTTACCTATATTCAAATGAAATTTTTTTAAATGTGCATTACAGTGTCTCTCATAATTAATAACTTTAAATAGGGATGTTATCAAGTAATTTGTAATAAGGATTATCAATCTCTTCTAAAAAAAAGTGCCTTATAAAAAAGATCAGAGTGAGTTTTAATATATCATACTCTTCACTCTTCCGTCCTAAATATAAGATCCTTTTTGTAGTGTAAATTACACAACAAAAAGGTCTTATATTTAGGATCGAAGGAGTATTATTTAATAATATTATTGTAAATCACTCCTATTAACTTTTTCTAATAATAATCAAGGCAAAACAAACATAAACTTCCCGGCCAAAAATGAAAAAAAATAAGCTAAAACATACTCGTACTTATAACATGTATTAGGCCCTAATAAAATAATGGCCAACACATAATAATGAGTTCTTGTTGAGCAATTATAATAACAATATTTAACAGTTTGAATTTTTATATATCTTATTGGCTAGACATTTTTATTTCTTTATTCACATCTTTTTATTTATTTATTTGTAGATGAAAGCAATCACGCTGTGAAGGATTCATGACAACCTTTAATAAATCCCAACATGCTAACATGATTTCTAGATTTTGCACAAACAACTTGTTGGTCGTGTAATGAGTACAATTTACAAATTATACATGAACATTTTATGCACCTACAGACACAAAAACCCAGATGTTCACTTTATATATATATATATATATATATATATATATATATATGCAAACACAAAACCTCTGAACCTTAATATAAAGTTACTAAATTACTCAATTATAATATATGTTATATGATCTCTCTATATAATACTTATGTGTATCATTAGATTATATTTTTTTTGGGTCAAAGTGTATCATTAGATTATATACTCTTTCGGTCCTTAATATAAGACCCATTTAACTAATTTGATTAGATTAAGAAAGTTAGGTAAATTAGTTAATTATAATAAATGTGATAGGTTTTTCCTAAAATATCATAATCATCTTTCTTAACACCCCATCT